TAGCGTTTCTGTCGACACTGCCCAAGACGCAAAACTCTGGTCAGATCTGCTCACGTCACGTACGCGTTTACATCACATACATACAGTACACAGAAACAAACATGTTGGACCTTCAAGCCACTCTAATAAACTTACAGGAGGCATCCCGACAAATGTACAAAATATGCAGAGATACTTTTCGTGAACAGAGAAGGATTTGCAATCACTTCTGCCAAATTCTGGATGCACCAGTTCATCACAGGCAAGCCAGACGGATATGGACGAGACCTGGAGAACCAGTTGATGGTGGGACAACTTTGTGGAAGGACTAGCTGATGAAAATGCGTGACGTGAAAACTTCCATATGTCCAAAGATGCTCTTGTTGCTTTGAATACAAGCAACCCAATCCAATTTCACACACTTTTGCGTCACTGTATACATCCAGATTTCCTCCTGAAAACACAAATAAAAAGTAAAGACACGATGCCACTTTTGCATCTTCTGTTCAGACCGTCATCATATAAACATAGCTTCACGTTGCATTCTTGCCATGAGTACGATCGCCTTTCTACACATCTGACCTTAACTTGTTACACGCCATTTTTAGTGGTGTCCGAACGTCCAGTGAGTGAAAAAATAGTGCACTGAAAATTTCCCACAGCGCACCTTGAAAAGCAGTGTCAAGCTCTGGTCAGTAGATCGGTCAATATAGACCACAAGGCATTAGAAAAACAACAGTGGACAGCGACAAGTGATTAAGTGGACACAACTCGACTGAATAAAGCAAACAGAAGCGCTGGTTTGTGGCTCTGTTCTTTTAAATAAACCATTATGGTGTAAAGATCGATCATTTCCATATCTCAGACAAAAAGCAAATCATTTAAATGGTCGTCTTCATCTTTATGTAGTGCTTTTCCACCCTCAAAGCGCTTTACATCAAGGAACCACTCACCCATTCATCCGTGAGAGGTGGAATTGTGGGTCTGACCGCTCTGCCAACCTCCGAATCAGTGGGCAAACGCTCCACGAACTGAGCCGCTGATGCACGTAAGGTAGTCCTGTAATCTAGTCCGTTTGGGTGAGGTCCAGCTTGACAAAAATACCTACAGATACCATAAATCCTCGTGTTCCAGTCCAAACTGATCCTTATTTATGACAGAAATCAAGTTTTATCAGTTTTATCAACCTTTAGACTCTTTAGTCAAGAGTCAAGTGAGCTGTGTGTCCAAATCTCTCTGTGAATGAGACACTATAGAGTCCTCTAAAGCAGTGTTTCCCAAACTTTTTTTCTGGAGACCCATATTTTAAAAGTCACAAACCTTCGTGACGCAAGTCAATAGACATTATTCGTAAATCAGAAAATGAAGGCGGATTTTACCAATATTGAACTTCGGTTATTTTATTGTTGACTGTTATTGTTACTCAAGTTTTAAACAACAAAAAATAGTCATTGAACCAGCAGTAAAAGAATCCATATGTCGCCTATTTGGACATTAAATGTAGCCCATTTCTTTTTCTTTTCAATATTCAACTGAACCAGCAATATTGGAACAAAATAGTTAGAGATTAGAAATTATACAAAACATGTCTTATTTGATTTTGTGTAATTAATCCAGAGGTGGGCTGTGTACAGTGGTGTATAATATGATTTAAACTATAACAACTTTACAGCAACTTTAAGAGTATTTGCCTGAGCATAGAGCATCCTACACTGTCTATACATAGCAGCATCATCATCATCATCTTCCATGTCTGCAGTGATGATACGCCCAAGATATAGAATTTTTGTTGTGACAGGCAAAAGTCAGAATGTCTCATGATTGTCTTCTTTGGTTCTCCAGATCAGTGTTTCCCAAACTTTTTTTCTGGGGACCCATATTTTAAAAGTCACAAACCTTCGTGACCCAAGTCAATAGACATTATTTGTAAATCACAAAATAAAGATGGATTTGAGCATTATCGAACATTAATGACGCTGTTTTATTGTTGAGTGATCATGTCTCTCTGAACAATTAGTATTACTCAAGTTTTAAACAATGAAAAACAGTAAATGAAGCAGCAATTAAAGGATCCATAAGTCGCCTATTTGGACATTAAATGTAGCCCATTTCTTTTTCTTTTCAACATTCAACTGAACCAGCAATACTGGAACAAAATAGTCAAAGATTAGAAATGATACAAAACATGTCTTAACATTTCAACATGTGTCAGAACTGTATATTGCAGACCTACATGCAGATTGTTACAAGGCGACCCAAAAAAAATCTCTTTTGATCCAACTGAGGATCGTGACCCAGTCTTTGGGAAACAATGATCTAAAGAGTACAGGACGATGTAGAGAATCCAAATCCAAATCCACTTTACGAACAAAGCAGTTTCCAAAGTGCTGCACAAAGATCATAAATTGAAGACAACAAAAAGGTCAATTGCTAAAATTGGGTTATACCAGTCCTAAAACAATAAGAGCAGTAAAATCAAATAAAAGCAAAACCATAAAATCATAAAATAAATAAGTAAGATAAATAAAATAAATAAAAAAACACAGAAGACCGCACAACTCACACAGTGTTAAAAGCCAAAGAACAAAAGTGGGTCTTGAGACGAGATTTAAAACACTCCACTACCATGGCCCCCAAAAACTTTAGACAAATGAAATTATAACACCTATACTTTTTATTAAATCGAGGTTTAGACTGGTATAAAAATGTGTTCTTTGCATGTAAATTGTCACTGAATTTTGGATGGAATTTTCAGTAGTAATGACATTAGCAGATGCACTTTGTATTTCGTCTGTTTTTTTGTACTTTTCCTCTCAACTTTGGTCCACAAACTGCCACTTAACTGATGCAGAACTGTGAAAAATGTGGAAACCTATCGTTTGACCTTTGAAACTCAGAAACTCAGAATACGTTTACAGATGCTTGGAAGATGTTGCCACCACTTTATTTGTATTTTTTCTCAAAAAGTGACTGTTGTTATGACTGCAGGAGTGTTTTTCGGAGCAGTGTGACCTATCCAGACCCCTCCTGACCCTCTCGTTCTGGGGGCAGTGCAGCTTTAATTGGACCAAGTCTGGGAGGAAAGTTTAAGGTCAAAACTTGGCTTTCCAAAAAGTGAAACCACCCTCTCCAAATGTTAAAATACAAGTCACTTTCTTTTGATGTTTTATGAATAACTGTGGACTGGATATGTGCACATATTATCTCCTCCACATTAATATTCGATTCAAATGGCATTTTTGACCAATACTGTATTTTTTGGACTATAAGTCGCTCCGGAGTATAAGTCGCACCAGCAAAAAAATGCGCAATGAAGAAGAAAAAACATATATAAGTCACATTGGTCTATAAATTGCACTTTTTGGGGGGAAATGTATTTTATAAAATCAGAGACAAGGAACTGGCAAGTTCTAGTAATAACAATAGAACAGAGAACAACAGACTGTTAACGTCACATATGAACAGTTCTTCAGATAAACTATAACATAAACAACAGAACAGAACAAGTTTACCAAATTCTCCATGTCACTCCAAATCACTAAATCCACTGAATTCTTCATCCTCTGTGTCACTTCTGAACAACTCTGTGACGTCCAGAGGTAAACAGAGCGCCGCATCCTCTTCAGACTCAGTTCCAGTTAGAATTATTCCGGCCTGTCTGAATCCCGACAGGATGGTTTCGGTTGTCACTGAAGCCAGGCTTTGTCGATCCATCCAATGACTTCAGGAAAGTTGCATGGTGCACCCTCCCGGTTCCCCTGAAGCTGTGTTCTCCATCCCTGCTTTCTGCCAGTCCCTCACAAGTTTCTCGCTCACTCCAAACTTTCTTTCTGCTGCTCGATTACCGTTTTCGGCTGCATATTTTGCTACTTGCAGTTTATAATCTGCAAAATCTGATTTTCTTTTTAGGAGCATTTGTGTTCAGTTTTCTCAGTCGTCTTTATAAGTTTGTTTAAGTAAAAAACATTTTCACTTGTACATAAGTAATGGTGAGATTGACTGACATGATACACACAGGACAGCGGCTCTTTCTGCAGGAGACATGCGCAGTAGAAGGAGGTGACAGTGGTACAGGAGTAATAGGAGCAGCAGATACTGACACACAAGACTAGAGCCTCTCGGGGCTGTCAGTGTCAAAATTGTAATATATAAGTCGTACCTGAGTACAAGTCGCAGGAAACACCCAAACCATGAAAAAAAAAACAGTAAAGCCAATATGAGGACAGTATAGCCTAGAGAGTTGGCATGCGTGCAGTAAAATATATTGATTATGTGGGACAGCTGTGGCTCTAGTGAAAATTGTTGTTTTCTACTCACTCAAGGCACTTCCCTCACTGAAAGACACAACACAGTGCATAAGCAACCACATCATTTTTAAAACTATGTAATGAATACGGCTGGGTTAATATAAGTTTTTTTCTCTTTACCACTTCTTTTCGAGAAATGATTTGATTGCATTTCTTTATTTATGAAGCTTTTGTTTTGCTACTTTGAATAATTTTTTACGGATTCATTCACTTTTTTCGCCTTCTGACGTATTTCAGTGATCAAAACTACTACATGGAAATAAATTTGAAAGAGGAAATGATTTAAAGTTGATTTGTTTTTTGTTTTTTTTTATAAATTTTGAAAGCAAATTACAAAGTATGTATACCAAACATCATATTTGTGCAATTTTTTTTCCATGAATAACCCCAAGAAAAAAATAAAATAAAATAATGATTAATAATAATAGCAATAGTACTAAAGTTGATTTGGTTTTGAATGTAAAATTGTCTAAAATGTATGTCAAACCCTAGTGGTACTTAAAAATGAAGTGGTAGTAAAAACAGTTTTGGAGTTTGCATGTTCTCCCAGTCTGTTCTTACAAATAGTTATAAAACGCAGAATATTGTGCAATAAAACCAACAAAATTGCGATACGGCAAGTCAGCAGTTCAACACAGATATTCAAGTATGACATTTTCAGTGTGTTTTTCGTGTATTACCAAACCCGTAACTTTATTTTTGTGTTTATTTCAGATGCGGAGGTCCCGTCCCGAGAGGAGGAAGAGGAGGAGTGGGAAGCAGAGGAGGGGGAGGGCTGTCCTTTTTTCTATTTTGCACACGTTTTTTGAGGACAGGTGCAACAATCGGTTCTGCCCATCACACCCAGATTACAAGACTTCTAATCTGACAACTCAAATTCCCAAATCAAAATCGTCCACTTTGGAAAATCTCAAACTTTTGTAAAAACCCACGGAAGCGACAGGAGCTACACTGCGTTCTACAGTCTTATACTCCCCCTGGTGCCCGTAAAGCGCTACTACAAACTGATTTCTTGACTTGGGAATCTCTTGATCAGTTGCTTCATGCTCAAAAAGTTTTTTTTTCGTTGGCTTAAAAAAAGGATTAATTTTTTTTTTTTTTTTGGAATTTTGAAGATTCAATTAAAAATTTTTACAAAACAACATTTTGTTTAAGCTTTTTTTTGTTTGTTTGTAAATTTGTTTTCTTTTTCCCCAAAAGAATCAAAAAATTCTTTAAACATTTTTAATTGAAGCCATTTCGGAATTAACTCCACTTGAAGTTTCCTATTTTTTTTGTAAACTATGATATGTAACTTTAACATTGAACAAGAAGTTTATTATTTAATAATAATAATAATATGAATAATAATGTATGTACTAGCCGTAGAATGTGGTAACCTGTACCTGGGGTCTTTTTTATAGATGTATATACAATGACAGGTTTCAGCCATTAAATGTGACCATTTCACAATCAGCCTGTCCGCTCTCTTCACTCTGCACTCACACGGACACAGACACATGAAGAGCTGCTGCTTTTTAACTTTTTAATAATCATTAAATCTACAAGTCATCAAGGTTTTGTTCTCTCTTGATTAAAAAAAAGTTATAAATTAAGTTCACAGATGTGAGTGGGATACTTAAAGAGCCCATATACGTTACTTTCTGAACTATGTTATAATGTTGTTTCCTCATTATGAACATAACTGGAGCTTCCAGATGAAGAAAAAAGGTAGAGCGCTTCACTGAGTCATAAAAGAGTTAAAAAATAGCAGCACAGGTCTTCTACGAGGGTTAAAACATTAGTCTTTAAAGAGACAGTTCAGAATTTTGGACATAGGACCTCATTTCCCAGTGAGCCAGAGTGTTGGAGACGTATAGAGACACTTTTTTAAATATTCCATCCAGTCCTTGTATTTGCAGAGGTCGCTGGTGCTAGGCTAGTGCATGTCAATGGCCATAGTTAGCTCGCCACTAAAAACAGTCTTCCCCACTCCACAAAACACCCAAAGCAAATCTATTATTACATCAGACTGTCAATGTGAATGTCTGTGTCAATAGAGTAATTTTAGAAGTAAAACCAACCTTGCATTTGAAGGATTTATGTCTGAGCAGCAGCAGTGTTATGACTCAGCTCATTGGGGTGAGGGAAGTAACAAAAAAAAAAAAAAAAAACAAGATGTTAAATGGAACAAATTAAATAATGTTTAATTAACAGGGATGTAATAAGTAAATTAACGAAACAAACTAAAATATATACAGAAAATAACTTAAACTAAAAAACTAAACAGAATTAACAAATAACGAGATTTGTGCCACAAAATGGGTCACACAGGTTTACAAAAAAACAAGAAATACACAAAACTAAAACACAAGTGCCCCACATTAAAACCACATAAGCCCACAAACAGAATCGAGTGACCAAATTTAAAAAGGCACAAAACAGAACTAAACTACAGAACTCAACACACAAACACAAAATGGCAGACTGGCCACCAAAGCCAGCAGCCCCGAACAGGTGCTGGCAATCTAATTAAAAAGGGGGAGCAGGCTGGAGGTGAGGCAGGATTGGCCAGGTGTAGAACTACTCCACCAATAACAGGCCAGGGCTGCCACAGCAGGATTCAGAACAGCCAGCAAAATAATTTAAAACACACATAACAAATTACAACTGAAGGCCTGGGGCCGTAACAAGCAGCAAGTTGTACTTCCTGATAGAAAGCTTTGCAGTGGCAGACTGATATATGAGAAAATAGTCCCTCAACAAGCGATAATTAATGCGTTGCAAGGTTAGTTTTATTTCAAACATTATTCTGTTGACACAGACATTCACATGGACAGTCTGATGTAATAATAGATTTGCTTTGGGTGTTTTGTGGAGTGGGTAAGACTGTTTTTAGTGGCGGGCTAACTATGGCCATTGACATGCACTAGCCTAGCACAAGCGAACTCTGCAAATACAAGGACTGGATAGAATATTAAAAAAACACTCTGGATAACTATGAAATGAGGCTCTATGTCCAAAATTTCAAACTGTCCCTTTAAACATAAAGTTGCCCTTACTGGAAAATGTAAAAAATGTACAAACCCGAGGCAGTCGACTGCTTCATGAGATTATAACATGACATTATAACATGGCTAAAAGCTCAGCAGACCTTTGAAAGTGTAACTCATTTAAAGGGTCTGAATCTGATTCTTATTTTTTCGCAAAGTAAAATGTGTCTTGCTTTTACAGAAGCAGCTTTTAATATCAAAATGATACCACCTTGAACAGTTTGCAACTAATTCTAACTCCACCACAAATCAAGAAGTGCGCTGACAGCAAACTAGTTGATGATCACATTTTTATACAGCACTTTTCCACCTTCAAGACACTCAAGTCTTTACATGAAGGAACTGCTCACCCATTCACACACACTCTCATACGCATCAGTGTACACAGACACTGTACACAGATGAGGTGGGTTAAGTGTCTTGCCCAAGGACACAACGACAGCATTCATCTGTGAGAGCTGGAATCGCTTTCGCCAACCTGTGCATCAGTGGATCTGACCGCTCAGCCAGTGATGTTTATGTTGAGAGCAGGATTCAAGGTCTTGCCCGGTGATGGGACTTCCAACTCCTTTACTGGATCCGAATCTTTTGGAGCTGTTCATGTCAAAGAGTCGCTCCAAAGATTGGCCCTTTCGATATTTTTCAGAAGAAAGAAGCTCATATAAGAACTCAACAATAAACTAATCACCGGAGAGAAATGACTCAGATCTGTTTTAAATGGTTCAAACTGAGAGTGGGAGTCTGTTTTCCCTTTAGAATTATGCAAAATCAAAATAAAGCATTGCACTACGAAAATAATAATAATAATAATAAAAAATAATAAAATCTTATTATGATGCCAAATATGTTTCTAGCTCATACTAGTGTTATCTGCTCTGCTTCTGTGCTGGTTCAGCTTTAAACAATATAAACATGCATAAAAATTACACAATTACACAATTACATAGTTCACAGTTCAATAAAACAAAAGGACTGGATGAAATAAATATGAATCCTAGTCTGAACCAGGTCTAATCAGTCCTGGTTTAGTCCTGGTTTAGTCCTGGTTTAGTCCTGGTTTAGTCCTGGTTTAGACCTGGTTTAGTCCTGGTTCAGTCCTGGTTCAGTCCTGGTTTAATCCTGGTTTAGTCCTGGTTTAGACCTGATTTAGTCCTGGTTTACTCTTGGTTTAGTCCTAATTTAGACCTGGTTTAGTCCTTGTTATTCCTGGTTTATTCCTGGTTTAGACGTGCTTCAGTCCTGGTTTAGACCTGATTTTGTCCTGGTTAAGTCCTGATTGAAACGAGATTTCATATTTATTTCATACAATCCTTTTGTTTTATGGACATATTTAAAATAGTAATACATTTTTAAAAGTAAATATTTGTATTGGCCATATTTTAGACTCAATGTCATGACATATTTCAGCCACTAGGGGGCAGTGTCACCCCTGACCTCCACAAACTTTGCCTATGCATCTGGTTCCAATTGACTTTACACTGAGTAAAATACAAATCTGATAAATATTAATCTCATAAATATTAAGAATGTTAAGAGCAGATGAGTTGTGTTTTGTTTCATTCACACATGTTTGAGTTCTTTTTTTACTATTATTATGATCAGTCTGTCTACATCTCCAAAGCTCAACATGCTCTGTTCCATCTTGGTAGTGGTAGTTTTTAGCTTAACCTTTAGTTCAGAAGAGTTTGGCGATTCCAGGGCTGAAATCATCCAAATGATTCTAGTGAAGGCATATGTACTTTTAAAAACACAGTGAAGAACTTCCTGTATTATCACATGACATCACAAGGTGGTTCACTATTTTCTGCTTGAGAGAAGAACTCACTCTAAATATGCAGTATTTGTGTGTTAAACATGTGTGAATAAAACATAAGAAAACACAGCTCCAGGTCTGTTTGTGAAGAGGAAACAACATTATAATATAGATCAGAAAATATTGCAATATGAGCTCTTGAATCCTACATTCCATCTTCATGTTCAGTAGACAGTAATGCAATTTGAAGTCTGTCAGTACATTGATTGATTATTATTGTTTACTATTTGGCACTGCATTCCAATTTAGCCCATTAATATGTCAAACTTAGGCTACGTTCAGACTGCAGGGCTTAACGCTCAATTCCGATTTTTTTGTGAAATCCGATGTTTTTGCGAGGTCGTTCACATTTCCAATTAAATGTGACTTGTATGTGACTCCAGTGTGAACATTAAACGGCCCGAAAGTGTCCCACATGTGCAGTGGAGACACAACGACGTCAACCGCAGCGAGCGTCTCTGTGTTTACAGAAGTTGTCCAAACATGGACACGAGCATTGAGCACCTGGAGATTTTAAAGTTCCTCTTGTACCGGAGCCAGAACATGAACAACTTACTTGTTTTAAGGAGGAGATTGAGAAGGAGAAGGACGAGGTTTTTGGCCGTGGTGTTTTGTGGGGCAGCAGCTGCGACGTCCGTTGAAAGGAACATGTGGATGCGCAGACGTAGCCAAGAGTGGTGAGTGGTGATGTGCTTCGCTTCAGTGACACGGAGTTCATTAACAATTTTCGCCTACTTCAGTGATGTTTGTGGCTTGTTGATAACATGTAGGTTGGATTCATGCGCTTTGACCATTCAGACTGAAGTCACATGTCAAAAGATCGGATTTATATCGGTTTCAGGACCACATATGCAAGTGGAGTGGGTCGCATTTGAAAAAATCGGATCTGTGTCGTTCAGACTGTCATTAAAAGATCTGATACAGGTCAAATAGGGGCCAAAAAATCGGATTTGGGTCACTTCAGGCTGCAGTCTGAACGTAGCCTTAGATACTGTCTTGACATTTAGAGATTATTAGGCTTACTTTAAAATAAATGTTGAAATTAGAGATGCACCAATTCTGATTATTGTACTGAATATTGAATATCGGTTGCAATATTGAAAAAATGGACCAGGTATTGGTTCCACGATACTGAGTCAATATCCGAGTGGAGAAAGCAAGACTAACGTTAGAGTTGAGGGAGTCCTGTGATCACTTCATCCAAAAAGCAGGCGATACCAGCAAAAAGTGGAAAACTGAGGATTGTGTGAGCCATGTCATATCCAGATTAAAACACAATGGACAAGACGAGAGGGCATCCTGCCAAAAGCCATCGGGTGGAATGACCTATGGAAAATACCTCAGACAAGACTGAGTTTCATGATAAGAGCTATGACCTATGAATAACTCCCATCTCCAGCCAATCTCTCAAGTTGGTTTGGTGCTCAAGATCCGTGTGACAGTTTTGCGATGCAGGTAATACAACCTACATGTCTCAAAGCGCGCCTTTAAATGGATGTAATAAGACTATTTATAGGTTGAGTTTGGCCTGAGCGTCTCATATGTTTGAACTTCTATTCATGCAGAACTGTTCAGTAGTTATCGAAGGATACATTACAGTTACGATTGCCTCTCTTGTGCATTAAAGGTTGTATAGAGGATTTTTTTAAGGGAAGAGAAATACAGCGACAGTCCTTTTTCAAAAGTTGCACATGCGTGACACCACCTCCCTCCTCCACAGCTTCCTCAGTAGAAACATCTCGTCCCGCCTCCTTACTCTAGAAATCACGCTTGTTTACAGCCAGTGCGCGATCAGAATTACTGTTGAAGTGATCCGTCTAGAAATGATTTAGCGACCGACGCGTCAGTTTTTAGACCCTTTGTCCGCTTCATTCACGCCATCGCTGGAAGGAATCTCCAGGAATCACCTCAGTTTGGCTTTGCTCCTTTTCCCCTTCTCTTCTTCTTTCAGCGACCTCTAAAAACGGACTTTCTTTTGCGGCGAACTGGTCGTTGATTCTAGTCCGCCATCTCAACAGACAAGCTACAGTTTGAAAAAACCTCTAAGAACCACTGCATAAACCACGTAATCCCTGCGCCGGCGAGTCAGTTACACTAGAAACGTAGGGAGTTTGATTGACAACCTAACAGCCAATAGAAAATGAGGTAGCCTTGTTTTCTATTGGCTGATGTTTAACTGGCCTCACTACGTCCACAGTTGATAGATTTTCATTCTTTTTTTTTTTTTTTTGATCATCATAATTACAAGGCTGCTGCGTCTCTGTAATGGTATTTTAAACTTTCATTGACAATTTGAAACAAAAACAAAAAATCCTCCATACAACTGTGTTTTAGGGAAACAAGTGCCATTTTTCGTTAATCTTGGGCATTGGCAGATACTTAAAGTCAAAGTATCAGTATCTGAACTGAAAAAGCTGCATCAGTGCATCCCTAAATGAAAAAGCATTTGAAATTGACAATTAAAGTAAACTGTAGTAAATGCAGTTATTGGAGGCTTTCAGATTTTAGAGTGTGATGATGTCGTACTATCAGAGGAGGGCAAGAGCCAGTTTTCCCTATAGATTACATAGTTTGCCATAAAATATCCAAAAGGCAAATACTTGTTGAACTTTCTAATGTTTAGAGCCAGAAACATACTGGATTACAATAAAAACCTGTATTTTAACAATTTTAATTTTGGCTTCCCCATTTGTATTCAGTATTGTTTTAGCTCGTCCGGTGTAGGATGTTTTGGTGCTCTGTGAGTGCGGCGTGTCAGAGCAGGTGATAGATACACTGATGTTACGTGTTTTGGCAAGTAAAGAAAGGAGCAGAGACAGCAGAGAGGCCGCTATGCTCTGGGACTTAATAAACATCATGAATTTAAAGTCGGACTTAAACTTCACCCAAAATGATATTTCAAACAGAGCTCCTAAACTGGGCAGTACCTGGAGCACTGAAGAGGAGAGTGAGGGGGAGGAGGGGCTGGGTCTGGAGGTATAAGGAAGACTGTGATTGGTCGAACAGGTATCCACACTTCACATAAACACCACACTGTAATAAGGGCAGTCCTGTGCGATGTCATGTAGTTCTTAAAATGTCAGCAGCAGATTTATCTAGGTTGAATTACAATTGCAAAAAAAAGAAAGAAAGAAAGAAGAAAAAGAAAAGAAAAGCACTAGAAAAGAACAGTAGAAAATGCTATTAAAACACCATGAAGACTGTTTAGTTCCACTTACCTGTGGTAGTACTACCTGTATAAAAATATAGGCCTACCTAAAGAGTAAAAAGTAAAAGTATTTTATGAAGATTCTGAGATGTAATAAAGCTTCAACTGCAGCAATACTGATAAAGATGTGTGCTGAGTTTTGTTCAACAGAAAAAAAAATGTTTTGATATTTTTTTTATTCTAGCTGTTTGTTTTATTTAGGCCTGTTATAGTATTTTTGTGTGCTAAAACTATGAGCAAGTTAAAAATAACCTCAGCCTTTTATACAGGTCTCAAACAATAATAAAAAATAAATACTTTTACTTCTCAGTCTGGTTCAAAAATGTACTGGAGCAGAAAGGACAGATACCTACTGCTAAACCTATACCTTCTACTACTAAATATAGAAGTAAAAAGCAGTGGCAGACTGTGCATTTTTCACCCAGGCCTTCAGTAGTAGCACGGAGTGAGAAGAAGAAGTGAGTAGTGGAGGGGACCGGATCATAGCCAGTAAGCCAGAAAAGCCAAAATTTCAGCAACAGTTTCCGAGACATTTTGCGTGGTCGCAGAATTTCAAATTGCATTTACTCAAACACTACTGATCTGAAACCCCAAGGTATCTCTGGAAAGGGGAAATTGTAAGAAATCCAAATCTGGCATTATTATTTTTGCATTTGAGTACTTTTGAGATGAATTATCTTTTGCTGGTGGTTGAGTCTTGCACCAGAGCAGGATTCATGGGGACAAATCATTCTTTTAAGTGGCATCTTTAAATCATCATCATCACTAAGGTGTAAGGTAATCAGATTTTCAAAATCATAAACTGGGACACCCCCAGTTTGGGATGGTTGGTAAGAAAACAAGTTAAACGAGTGCCGTAACTATGGAAAATTGTTCAGCACTTGGCTCATTCATGACTAATATGAATCAGTATAGTTTGTTTTCTTGTGTGTTTTGGTCATTTTAAGCAGGTTTTCTGTATTTTACCTAAACAAGTGATAATTAATGACTCTCTTTACTGGCACCTGGGACTTTTCTTGTATAAAACTGGGGCATATTTTGGATTAATCTGATGGGACACGGGACACAGGATCAAAACTGGGACTGTCCTGGGTAAATATGTTTTGTCACCCTACTGTGGCGGACGGGGGTTCATGCACACGTCAACTTTCCATCTGACTTCTACCAGTGTTGGGGAGTAACAGATTACATGTGCCGGAGTTATGTAATCAGAGTACAAATTATGAGTAACTGTATTCAGTTACAGTTACTGTTTCAGTGAGTGGTAATTGGATTACAGTTACTTTGTTGAAATAAATGGATTACACAGCAGTATTTTACGGTTTTCACATTTTCAGCTAAACCAAAAAACCTAAACTAAAACAGGACTAAAACCAGGACTAAACCAGGACTAAAATCAGGACTAAAACCAGGACTAAAATCAGGACTAAACCAGGATTAAACTAGGACTAAACCAGGACTAAAACAGGACTAAACGAGGACTAAAACCAGTACTAAAATCAGGACTAAACCAGGACTAAAACCAGGACTAAACCAGGACTAAAACAGGACTAAACCAGGACTAAACCAGGACTAAAATCAGGACTAAAACCAGGACTAAAATCAGGACTAAACCAGGATTAAACTAGGACTAAACCAGGACTAAAACAGGACTAAACGAGGACTAAAACCAGTACTAAAATCAGGACTAAACCAGGACTAAAACCAGGACTAAACCAGGACTAAAACAGGACTAAACCAGGACTAAAACCAGGACTAAAATCAGGACTAAACCAGCACTAAAACCAGGACTAAACCAGGACTAAACCCGGTCTAAACCAGGACTAAACCAGGACTAAACCAGGCAGCAGTGATCTCATATAAAAATAATTTCTCTATCAATAATATTTTTAATCTGGTTAAGCAAAGTCTGTATTTTTTGTTTTTTTTCTTTCTTTTAGCAGATAAAACATCTGATGTTAAGATCCTGGTCTTCTCTTCTCTACAGTAAAACAAAAGTCTGTTCATGGAGACTTGGACTCAACAGACAATTTGAAGAGAACAAACAGGAATTTTCAGGATGTGGTTGATACATTCATGTAATTTTAAAAAGCACAACAATATCAAGTAATCCAAAGTATTCAGATTACGTTACTCACTTTAAGTAATTTAGTGGATTACGTTACAAACTACATTTTGGGGTATGTAATCTGTAATCTGTGCTGGAATACATTTTAAAAGTAACCTTCCCAACATTGACTTCTACTGCCAGTCTCCACTTGCTGCCCCGTCATACCAACTTGTAGTATCACATTATATCCACACGATGGCAGCACTCTACAGCAGAGCTCTGAGTCCGCACAGTCAGGTCCGTCAGAGGAAGCGCGGTGTGTTGTTGGAAGGGGACACATCACCGTCAGACCGCCAAACCCTGCACCGGACCGAGCGATGGGGTAAGCGCCTCTGTTTGTGCCTTCTACCTACCAAAAAAAACACCGATCATACCTTTAGATCCCTCTCCCTCAACGCTACATCACGTTTAATCCCAGATGTTACGTTACGATCGCGTTTTTCCCGTATACAGAGCTTGTGATCGGGGCTGTTTTGCGAGGCAGGTGCAATCATCCGCCTACATGAAGCATCCTCCGGGTTCCCCCTGTCGTTGCTCCTGTCACCTTTAGCATTTTAGCATTTAGCACGAACCACCCAGCTAACATGATTCTGCTGATTTAGCTGCACGATTTGATCCCACATATCAATAAATGCTAACTAGCCGGCTTGTAGCGTGCTAAATTGCTGCCCGATATGTGTCACCTTACGTATTATTGTTTACAGCTTGAATTCACCACGTAAAAAAATATTAAAGCTGTAACAATAGAAGGCAGTTTACATGCAAAAACATATATTCACATAGAACGGCTTTTAAAAATAAAATGAATAAAATTTGTCTCGAATCTGCTGCTAAGAGTGCTAATTCGAAGTGATGTTACTAAAATGTGCCCTATATTTCACTGTATTGCACTAGACTCGTCCCAAAAACGCCAAAATAAAGCATATAAACGCGTATTTCTGCTTTTAAATGGTATAGTAATGGGTTAATAGAAAACCGAGTATATTGTAGTCAAGTATGATGTTCAGAAATGTCTTGATTCTTGTAAAAATAACATTCTTGTCCTCATCCCACCTCCTTGGTTACTGTTGCTATGCTACGCTTGTCTCTGTTGTGAGGGCTTTCAGCGTGGATGGACCTAAATAGAAATAATTAGACATGATGAATAGCTTCACTCTCTTACAGAACAATTATGTAATGTAAAAACAGTTTTGTGAATTATTGGAATTATACTGATAATTCTGTGTTGCTGTAGTCTTGATATTTTCTGTTTAAAGCTTATGATGATTGAATTGAATGAAGCATTGGAATTGGTTGAATGGTAATAGTAACACAAAAAGTATTTAATCATTGCATATTATTGTCTTTGCCCACTCAATGTGCAGTTTAGGTCAGAAGTTTGATTTTGATGAACTTGCTGTTGAGATCTTGAGCAGTTCTTACCTGGCGTTGTATGCATGAGTGTGTTTGTGAGCACATGTGGGAACAGAGATGGAAATTGTATGGTTTGTGACCACAGGTTTGGTGTTTAACATGCACTGTCCCAACCTAAACACAAATGACCAAAAATCAAGTATGTAAAGGTGTACAAAAATACAAAGATACAAAGACTGAGAGGGAGGGAAGGCAGGGAAGGTCGGGTTAAATAGGTATACCGTATTTTCCGGGCTATTAGACGCGCTCTTAAGCCTCCAACCCCATCAAAAAAATCGCCTGCACGCCCCGCAATCCAGAACATACTCGAATCCACTCGGGTGTCCCAGCACGACTTCAGTAAACTACAAAGCCGCAGCGCACGTAAACACACACGGAGCAGACAGTGACCGCGCAGCGAAACACACACGCAGATAGGGGTGTGCAAAAATATCGAAATATCAATATATCGTATTGTTTAGTGTGATGATACAGTATCGATATCGTAGCAATATATTGCCAAGGGTATTTTTTGGTATATTTTGCTAAATTATTTTGTTACAGTGCTACAGTTTTGTTGCTTGTTCAGAGGAAGGAAACTCGTTTATGCAACACATTTGACATTTTCACTTTTTGATGAGTAAGATGGGTGTGTTTCATTTTAACTTTGCACAGTAAGAGGTTTAACAAAGACTTTTAGTATCACAGCCATGATATAGCCTTTATTTTTTACTGAACCGTATCGAATCGTTTTGAAATATATCGTATCGAATCAAAGTACACTGTATCGAGGTATATATCATATCGTGGCCTGTGTATCGAGGTATGTATCGTATTGGCAACTTCTTAATGATACCCAGCCTTACACGCAGCCACACTCATCACTCCACGCGGATGAGGAACGGAACAGAGGAACGAACTGAAAAAGCGAGTGCAATGTGCCACTTCTAGACACAACTGAACAATTGAGTCACTGCGAACACGCCGACAATCCAGCGGTCCCAGACAGCACCCTCCTTACACGCCACAACTGAACAAAGCCCAGAGTCACCGTGAACGCGACAAACAGAGTCCCACTGAGCCATCAAACTGTTGTGTTTCGTTTAAAGTCCGATGCGGTTTATCTGTGAAAAAAGTTTGAAAATAGACCATTCAGTGACAGTGCGCCTTATAATCCAGAGTGCCCTATAGTGCAGAAAATACGGTATATGAAAAATAAGAAGAACCAACAGTTGACGATATGTTTAATGGAATGTATATTGTGTATTGTTCTTAATAAAAAATGAATGATAAAATATATATATATATATATATATATATATACAAATACTGAAAAAACACAGTTTAACTTGGTGCATGAATCAATTGGCAATGCAGCAGTGGTAATTCTTACTATGTCCTGTCTACTTGCTTCATGTATTGTGCTGCCATGTGTTGTGTGTGCTTTGTACAGTTGGTCTTATTATGGTCTGTACTGTGTGTGTTGTATGTTGTTTTTGCTTTTACCTCCTCACCCCATGGGACCACGAATGGAAGTAGCTCTGAGCTAAATCTGGGGTATTTACAGCACTTTCTGTCCATGAATACATGCTGTTCCATTCAAATAAATAAATCAGTTAGACCCAATTTAGATAATAATATGTCCTCTGCAGAGAACAAGATGTTTCTCTTTTTACATAGAAAACTATTCTAGTACCTGTAGACTGGACTTCTACAAACATGTTATGAATTTATGAAATGCATGGGACTCTTGTATTCGTTTATTACTTTGTTAGTTTGTTAGTTATTATCAGTTCAGATTTCAATCTTCTCTGGAATGTTTGTGCTTCGGGTGTTGTTTCAAATGAGTGTGCACTCTGAACAGAATTCTACATTTCAACACTAATCACAAATCTAATCACAATTGCAGTTTTTCATTCGTTTTTCCCCAAACTCACGCAGCCCTAGAACAAAGATTATCTTGCACTTCTTGATTACCAGGAAATATTGTTTTTATATGGGTTTTTAACAATGTTTTTACCAAAAAATAACATGGGAATCCTCTGTCCTTCAGTCTCCCAGAGTCGTGCTGACCCCCGTTACCTCCCGCCCCGTCCCACTTGAAGATGCAGGGCTTCTACTCTAAGCTGGACTCGTCCCCCGCGGCCTCCCCTCTCCTGGGTGTGCGAGCGGAGGGTGGGCCGGTGCCTCTGAGCCTGGCGCTGGAGACAGAGAAGGCCCAGGCTCTGCTGCAGACTTTCAGCTCGGCGTCTCTTCTTGCCTCTGCTGGTCTGGGGGTGCTGTGCGTGCTGGCTGACCACGCCCTCCAGCTGTGGGTGATCCAGCAGCACTTGTGGCTCCGCGCTGCCCTGGATAATGCCACACATGGCCTCGTAGGGCTGTGGGCCTGGGCTGTGGTCATCGGGTTGAGGAAGAGGAGTGATCTGTACGAGGTGCTGCTGGCTGGGCTGCTGGCGTCGCTCATAGACCTGGATCACTTCTACATGGCCGGGTCACTCTCACTCAAGGTACGTGAGCTCCCACATACTAGGCACATACAGTACATGAGTCTAATCTGATTTAATCAAGCAAACTCAAATTCATTCTGTCCAAACATATATTTTTATAAAAAAAATATTAAATGTGCAAAGCTGGATGAGGGTCAACCCATCTTCTCCATGAGGGCTTTATTCAGGGTTCTTAATAGTCTTAAAAAGGTCTTGAATTTCATGTTCCTAAATTAAGGCCTTAAAAAGTCTAAAATTAAATTATGTTGTCAAAGTCTTATGGGTTTTTTTCACAAAGGCAGCAGTGCAATGTTAATTGGAGGGGGGAAAAAAAGTGAAATCATATAACTTGAAAGAACGTCTAATTTGGAGTATGTGCAAACAAGACTTAGTTTGTCTTATGTTATAAATCATTATTTGGCCATTTTATAAGCAATGCATACTGCTACAAATGAGTTCTGAATGGTATTTCATAATAAAAGTATTTTTTGTCATTTAAAGCAGTGAGTAATGATCATTATTAGAATTGGATCTACTGTTTTTCTCCCGCATAATGGGTGCGATGTAGGTCTTAATTTCCATTTAAGTGGTCTTAAAAAGGTCTTAAATTTGGGGTAGTCAAACCTGGAGATACCCTGTTATTGCTTTGCCTGGAATGTTCCTCTTTTTTGCATTAAAAATCAGATATTGCTTGTTACACATACATATTTAGACCATGTTACTTTTTATTGTTTTGAAAATGCTATATCCGACAAAAAACTGCATATTAAAATGTTAAATAACTTTTAGTTTCGGCTTTGAAGCTGAGTCCCTTTCCCTTTGCTCTCAGCGCTAAGTCATTCCTTCAGAGCACTATCACAACAATCACAATCAGCATGCATTTCTTTAATTAAACTACATAACATCACATCAGGTTTGTGAAGTTGTAGGTTATGGTTTTGTGTCATGCTTTTATATAATTATATTAAAATTGTCATGTTGGAGAATGGCCAATGTAGGCTTGTGGGCTGAGCCTCAGACAGAATGATACTAATTGTAACTTGTAAGGAGAGTTTGAAGAGGGCCCAGGAGAGATGACAAAATTACTGAAACATGCATTGATGACATAGAAATATGTGCTGGTAGTGATGTTGCGGTTAACTTAGGATCCTTGGCACCGTTTGTCAAACCCACTGTCACAAACCTGGGAGTGAAAATTGATCAAGACTTTAAACTTGACAGACAAATTAGTGCTGTGGTAAAGACTAGCTTTTTCCAGAGACAGATATAGATGGATAAAGCCATCACTCTCAAAACACCATTTTGAGATTCTGATCCACACGCTTGTCAAGACAAGACTGGATTACTGCACTCTACTTTATGTTGGCATAAGTCAGTCCTCACTATCACTATTGCAGCTAGTACAAAACACAGCCGCTCATCTTTTAACTGGTTCACGGAAATACGACCACATGTCCCCAATCCTGTCTTCCCTTCACTGGCTCCCTGTTCGTTTCAGAGTGGAGTTTAAAATACTTTTATTTGTTTTTAAATGCCTAAATAGCCTTGCCCCACAATACCTTGCTGACCTGCTAATGCCATACTCTCCAATGCGCTCCCTCAGATCTGCTGATCAGGCTTTGCTCATGGTTCCTCAGTCCAGGAGGAAGCTTAGTAGCCTGATTCATCAGCCGGTTTCACTTCGTAGAAACCGTCTGACCTCACAGTGTTAGAATTTGTTTGCTCGACGGTAGGCGGGCACTTTTTTAATTTAACGAATCACTGCTCTTTGGTCGTGATGTATGTAAAGCGCCGTTACAGAGCTAACTGTTATATTAAGCTTTTCCCAAATCCCGAAGGAAGGACAATGACATCTTTCCCCTTGATGAAATTCACCAAACATTCTCTTTGTTCCGGCTTTAAATCCTTGATCTCAGGAATCGCTGACAACACAGAATATATGGCTGTTCGCTGATTGGCTGGTGCCAGAACTTGCACTTCCAGGGTTTTTGGGAACCATCTGCAAATTCTGATTCCTGACCTAGTCACTGGAGAGAAATGAAATTGAGCGGAGGCACTAGGTGGCGTCAGCCTGACTAGGAGCTTAGAAGAGACAGAGCATTTTCTGTTGTTGGGCCTAAATTATGGAATGAGTTGCCTACTCACATAAGACAAACTGACTCTTTGGCTTTGACATAACTTCTTTAAACATACTTCTTTTCTTTGGATTTTAACTAGATTTGAGGTCTTTTACTGTTCAATAATTGTTGTATATATTTTTCATTGTATTATACCTATGTTTTTATCTTTGTGTACAGCACTTTGGTTAAATTTATTGTTTTTAATAGTGCTTTATAAATAAACTGGTTTTGGATTAGGATTTGGGAAAACCCCTTCAGGTCTGTTTTTGATGAGGGAACAATCTTATAACATGGTAGAAAGCTCTAAAAAGCCAGTTTTGCATACTTCTGTAAAACTAATGTCTTGGTAAATAAATATAAATATAAGCCTTTTGTGTTTCTCTCTCCTCCAGGCCGCTGTGTCTTTACCCCAGCGCCCTCCTCTCCACTGCTCCTCCCTCATCCCCGTGCTGTGCCTGTCCCTGCGCTTCCTCATGTGGATCGGCAGACTCAAGGACGCCTGGTGCTCCCTGCCCTGGATGCTCTTCGTCTCCATGGCGACGCACCACATTCGGGACGCTGTACGCCACGGCCTGTGGGTGTGTCCGTTTGGGAACACCGCGCCCGTCCCCTACTGGCTCTACGTCAGCACCACGGCGACGCTCCCTCACCTGTGCTCCGTGCTCATGTACCTGACCGGGACCAGGGACGTGATCTCCACCAAGCACGGGGTGGCCATCGACGTTTGACCTGGGCTGTCTGCGCTGGGAGGAGGAGCGGGGTCGGTTGTATACTCTGTAATGTTTAAAGGGAGGGAAAAGTCGGTTCACAAACATCAGCTTCACAGATTCTTATAATGTGAATATCTTGTGACTGTGACCACGCTTCTAACTCACCGGGAGCTGAGTGCACCAATAGGTCTTGAGTTAACCCTCTCCAGGCAGGTGTTGCAGATTTGCAACAGCTAAATGCCAATTACCTACTTACTCCAAATCCATATTTTATGAGCTTTTTTTTACGCAGGAGCCTTTTCTCACATCCATGCTGATAAACGTGGACGATGTAGACTGTGCAAGAATGGCTGCACACAAACGGCCAGAAGTGCAAAGTACTTTTGTTGTTTACAAAGGATAAAAATTGTTTCTTGGAGAACCACACGAAAAAGTGATGTTGTTCTGCCACTGTAAAGCTGTTACGCTGTGCTTTATGTTTTCATTGTTATGAAAAGTGGTTTAAAGTTAGCATTCATATCATTTTCAGTCTTCAGTGTTAATTTACCACACCGGACCAATGCTGCAAATCTGCAACATCCCAAAGAATGCATTGGATGTGAAGGTCTCTCTCAAAAAAAAGTCAGGATTGTATATTAGTACCCCATATGATCATTTTCCCCAAATATCTGATTTTTTCCTGTTACTAAAATTTAGTTTGAGCCTGAGAGGGTTAAATGAGTCCTAATGCTTACTTTGGGGCTTTGTGCTTTTTGCTTGGATACATCAAATGTTCTTTAGTTTAACAGTGTAAATTATCTAATAGACTTGTGGTATTACTCTATTAGAAGGAATGGCATATGGTCCGGCGATCGTGGCACTCGCTGATCGTCTTTGGCTGCTCTTTCAGCCATTTCTCATGTGGGTACGTGCAGAGGGCTTAGCTGGAGCACTAGTCGTAATTATAGGCTCAAAGTTAACTTTCAGATTTAAGTAGGGTTACGATTAGTCTCATGACCAGCTGGTGCACTTGGCTCCTGTTCAGTAGTGATGTGCGATCCCACATGTTGGATCAGATACCAATACTGATGACATAATACCACCATTTCCAGTGAAAAGCATTATTTTGGATTACAGATGCATTTCAGCGTATTTTAGCAGAAACTGACTATTTTGTAGGGATGTAACAATAATAGAAATATCATCATATAATGTGGTCTCATCATGATATCCAGCTCTCTCCAGCAACTAGGTCAGGAATCAAAATACAATAGACAGTTCGCAAAAACACCAGAAGTGCGAGTTCAGGCACCAGCCAATCAGCGAAGAGACATACATTCTGTGTTGTCAACAATTCATGAGATCGGGGATTTAAAGCTAAAATGAAGAGAATGTTTGGTGAATTTTATCAAGGGGAAAGACGTTATTGTTCTTCTTCCTACGGGGTTTGGGAAAAGCTTAATATACCAGTTAACCCCGTTAGTGGCGCATTACATACGTCACAACCAAATAGCAGTGATTGGTTAAATCAGGGGTGTCAAACTCATTTTGGTCCGGGGGCCATATCCAACCTACTCTTGATCCCAAAGGGGCCGGATCAGAAAACTCATGTCATATAAACCCCAAAAATAACAATAAGTTCAAATATTTGTGCAGAGAAACACAAGTCTATTTCAGAAATCTTATTTAATTGATGAACTCTTTCTTTTACAAAATATTATAATATTATGAACAACCTGAAACTTTAAGAAACATGCAATTTCAACACAAAGTTTTAACATGAACTTGTATGTAAATAGGAATAAGTCAATTTTTCTTTTAAAATCCTGCACTCGGCTCCACTTTTCTCATTTGTGACATTTTTCTGATGAGGGTGTCACGGTCAACAGTCAAAACGATCGTCCTTTAAGAGCGTCTGGAAAGAGACAAGTCTTCATTTGTGCTGCTCTGGTGGGAGGGGCCACGTACAGAGACGCTGGAGACGCTGCTGTGATAAACACCACAGAAAATTAACAATATTTTAATAGAAAATATTATTAAAATATTTTAGTAGAAAATCAGATGAGGGCCAGAGTAAAGGTCTTGGAGGGCCGGATCTGGCCCCTGGGCCTTATGTTTGACATCTGTGGGTTAAATGATAAAAAGTACCCGCCTACCGTCGAGTGAATGAAATGTAAGGCTGCGAGGTCAGAAGGTTTGTACAAAGTGAAACTAAATAAAAAAAAATAAAACCGACTGATGAATCAGGCTAATCATGGACCAGGACAATATATCAAATTACAAGTCTCTTTGCTTAAATCCACTGTTTTGGTGCAGCAATAAAGGGTGACAACAGAGGGAACTAAACAGGCCATGACTCTTTGCTCTGTTTCAGTACAGATTAGATGAGACATAACAGTCATTCAGCACTTTTACAGGGTAGCCGCGGGGTCTTAAAAGTCTTTAAAAGGTCTTAAATTACGTGCTCCCAAATTATGGCCTTAAAATTCTGTTGTCCAAGTCTTATTTTTTCTTAAATTTCATTAGCCTATTTTTTGTATACTAAACCGAGCTGTAGTGTAATGTTAAATAAATAGTGGGAGTAAAAATAAAAAAACAACGTGAAATCGTGTAACGTGGATGAACGTCTAATTTGGAGTATACACAAACAATACTTTGGTTTCTGGCCCCGGCGGCAATGAGTAAACAATGAGTAGAGTGGAAGAAGACGTTGGATGGATCATGGGGAAGTGTAGGTTTAATCCACAGTGGCTCTTAGATTCTAGATATTGTACCGGTAGTTGGTTGGTCATTATTAGAAGTGGATCTGGTGTTTTTCGCCTGCATAATTGGTGCGATGTTAGTCTTGATTTTTCTTTAGGTGGTCTTAAAAAGGTCTTAAAAAAGTCTTAAATTTGGGATAGTCAAACTTGGGGATACCCTGTTTTAAATCAGGGTACCAAAGACAAGAAAAAACAGCCATGCATATCATTAAAAAATATTGTATTGAGAGATTTGGATATTGTTAGACCCCTACTGTTTAGTGTGTGAAAAATGTGCAGAAGGTTAAAGCTTTGTGCATTTGTGGACAGGGAAGATCTGTGTGTCTGTGCTTTTCTCTCAACTGGAAACTGAAAGTTAAATTTTTCAGCTTGCTCCTCTTTCAGCAAGAGTGCTACAAAAATCAGTCTGGATTTAGCCAGATGAATTGACAATGAGCAGAATTCAATCCTTTGGTATCATAAGCATTTGCTCGCACATCACTGCTGACAGGTGACAGTCTGCAGACTAACACTGACACTGCAACGTCTCTCAAGGACTGTGCCACCAAAGCTTAACTGCTGCTGTCACTGTGCTCTGCCCCACACTGTTTAGCACGACCCACTCACACTGTGGATCTGTCCTTATAACATGCACATTACACTCACGCTGGTTGCTTAGTAACCAGGTCTGAGCAGATGGGTGGGCCTCGTCACTGTTGGACTGAATGTCAGCTCCCACACAAATGCTCTCTGGACTCTCTGGACTCTGTGCGAATGGAGAACAGTCACTAAGATCCGATCTTCATTCACATTTGGTTGGAGTTTGGTTTCATTGATTACACAGGTACAAATACAATCTGATGCCTGGGATCCTGAATACACACTTGTTCATTATTTTATGAAGATGTGAGTCTGGTCACTGTGAATATCCCTGTTTTCAGATGGGCTTGATTGACAGGTGGATTAGCCAACCTGGGACAGAAAGGAAAAAATATATATCAATCACAGGGGGCTGAAAAACATCATGGATTTCTGCAGAATCAATGAGCAAAGCACTATAAACTCTTAATCTGAGATGAGAGAAATTAAATTGCTTTGTTTCACATGCACCACTGAAAAAAGAAAAAAAAAAAAACAGATCTGATTGGACGATCATCAACAGAGGGCATGGGGTCCAGACTGATATCAATCTAAAAATACAGAGAGATTCTGGATTTACCAGGCAGACGAACTGGCAGAACTGAGAAGAGATAATCAATACTAAAAACTAGTATTGAAACACGATGTTCATTTGAACAAGTGATCACGCTCTGATGAGTAACGTTCTACTTTCTGAATAGTTTCAGACTCTTTCATCTTTATTTATCAGCACTTGTGTTGGACCAAAAGGTAAAATTACTGTTATTCCGTGTTGAAAATGTTTAGTCTATCTGTTATAATTGAAGCATTTTAAGTGTTATCAAGCCTTTTCTTATTGAGACATTAGCCAAGTGCACATGTTTTGGATTGACTGGGAAAGCTGAATAACCTAGAAAAAACCCACCCAGACACAGAGAGAACATGCAAACTCCACACAGAAAGGCTCAATCCAGCCGGGAATCAAACTTGGGACCGTCTTGCTTCTGCTTAGTGCTACAATATTTAATATTCTGCAGGTTTAGAAGGATCTCAACAGTTTAATCTGACACAGATCAATCATACAAACATTAATACACATTTCACTCCCTGTGTATGAGAGGAGGGAATATTTTAAAATGCTGTACGTTTGGTTTTTCATTCTTTTTGTGCCAACTAACCACCAGATTTTGTTGAATGTTTGTGAATTGTCTCATATCCGAGGTGTTGTGAAATAATGTAAATATTTCAAATGATTTTGTATTTTAGTCAGAAGTGGCCTATTTTATCAACACCAAATACAAAAGGGAAATTTGAAAAGATGGGCAGAAAGGATTGATAGTAATGTAGATAGTAATGATAAGGAAATCACTCAACAGTTGTGAAGTAGAGGTATTTTTGGTATTCTATAGATTCAATATAGTTATAGTGTAGTGCACATTATATAGTCTGTCCCATGCTGATAATTTGAAACTTTTTAATTTATGTTACACTAGGCCATACATTCTGTATAATCAAAAAGTTTTTTCATTCTTCTTTTTTTTTTTTTTTATTTATTTATTTATTTTTATTTTTTTTTCATTTTAAACAATTCACTTTGAATTTTCTTTGTCAAAATTGCCCAGAGTTTACAATAGATTAAGGCAGCACAATTTAGAAAAAAAAAAAAAAAACAATAAAAAATTAATTAATCAAATAAAATAAAATGATTCAAATGCAATTATAAATGTATTATTATTATTATTATTATTATTATTAAAGTTTTAGTCCACATTTCAAACATTTGGGAAATTAATTTCAACTGAATTACATTGTGCTGTCCTACTCTAGATTTGAAATTTTACTTAACAAATAATCCCTTTATTTTCCAGATTTGAATGTATTCATATGCTGTTATTTAAACTACTGTATTTCGTGCATTTTCTTAATACTTTGACTTTGAATTCTATTGGTATGGTCTTATTTTCTAGCTGTAGTTCTGACTGTTGTCCACTAGATGTCGTCATAGAGCCTTAGTAAGGTGATCCCGGTGAGAGAGTGGCGTTGGATGGCCCTGTTGTCCATTTCCATCTCCTTTTACAGCTAAGGGAAATTCCAGTCTGACAGTGAATACCTGTGTATTTTGTATACAGTATAATATTTTGCTGCTAATTTATTGAAACATTTTGTACTTTTGTTTATCTAATTATAGTTGTGCATAGAATGGGTAAGTTGGAGCCTTGTTCTTTTGTGAATAGAATTAACGGTGTGTTAATGACACTTTTTGATTTTGCAATTTGCACATTTGTTTTGCCTTCATGTACTTTGCATATTATTGACATACATGGCAGTAGTTGCACATGTATGGAGTCACTAGTGAACTTTTTACAGAAATAAACTTGTAACTAAAGCTGACTTTGAATCGTTTTGTAAACGTTTGTTATAATAGAATACATTTTAATTTGCGGTTGTAGTTCTAATTTATGTTATAATGTTGTTTCCTCATCACAACATAAAAGGAGTTGTGTTTTTTTTTTTTTCATTCACACGACTCACAACCCTGCATCTGCAATCTGAGTTCTTCTCTCAAACTGAAACCACTACTTTTACTACTACTACTCCTAGTACTATTGTTGCTGGAGTGCTTCTACTACCACAACACACACAATGCACATATTCTCTGGTATTTATTGTGTCTGATGACAATGCCCTTTCAACCATTCAGGACATTTTAGACAAACAATCGGTGTTAAGTGGATCATTACACTTTTGTTAGACTAGTGTCTTCCACTTTCTCCTGTGAGCCAATGTCCTCATGGAGCCATTGTGTGAGCCCAGGACACTAATGTGAAATATCCTGAAGGCGGAGCGGGAAGGAAGACTCTGAGTCACGTTCAATGAGTGTGAGTTTTAAAAGAACACTCATAAATCACGTCAGCGGCAAACAAAACAATTCCATTTTCATTCATTACAACTGTGTTTCTCTTCATAGCCGAGAGGTGATAAGGTCCTTTGTGAACAAAGAAAGACAAGATGGTGGAATTGTACCGGTTATGAAGTAGGCCTTAGTGAGCTCAGTGTGTCTCAAAGCTAACAGTCACTTTTATTAAAATCATCCATCCATCCATTTTATTCTGCTTATCCAGAGCCAGGTCCCGGGGGCAGCAGTCTAAGCAGGGACTCCCAGACTTCCTCCAGCTCCTCCGGGATGACCCCAAGGTGTTCCCAGGCCAGCCGAGAGACATGGTCCCTCCAGCGTGTCCTTGATCTTCCCGGGGGCCTCCTTCCGATGGGACATGCCTGGAACACCTCCCGAGCTCCAGGCTCCTTCCGTGTGACTGAGCTCCTCACCCTATCTCTAAGGAAGTGCATAACCATCTTGCAGAGGAAACTCATTTCGACCACTTGTTTCCTCAATCTCATCCTTTCGGTCATTACCCAGAGCTCATGACCATAAGTGAGGGTAGGAACCTAGTCCAATACTGCATCACTGCCGACGCTGCACCAATCCACCTGTCAATCTCACGTGTCATCCTCCCTCATGAACAAGACCCCGAGACACTTGAACTCCTCCACTTGAGGCACTGACTCTCCACCCAGCCGGAGAGGGCAAGACACCTTTTTCCGGTCGAACACCATGGCCTTGGATTTGGCGGAGCTGATCTTCCTCCCAGCTGCAAACCGCCCCAGTGCACGCTGCAGGTCCTGGCCTGATGAAGCCAACCTGACATCATCCGCAAACAGCAGAGATGAGATACTGTGGTCCCCAAACCGGACCCCCTCCAGCTCCTGACTGCACCTAGAATTTTATTAAAATCATAAAATATAAAATTAACAACCTATTAAAATTCAAATTAATGAAAGCCAAGTGTACCCAACTGTTTTTATGTGTAAAATAGGCCTACTTGAGCCTTTTATTATTTATTACTAGGGGTGTAACTACATGCAAGTCTCAAAGTCACGATACAATATCAAAAGAGACAGAAAACGCACACCAAAATTCTTGTAGCGGTGCAAATGCAAGGAGCAGCCAGACAAAAGTGAAAAAATGGATAGCACACTCAGATGCCGATGTCCAAAAGCTTTTTTATTTTCAAAATAACGTTTCGGCAAAAAAAGCCGAAAAAGATATTTTTCTTGCTTTGGACCACAGCACGATACGATATTGTCACGGTATGAACCTCACAGTACGATATTTATTGCGATATCGTGGGAAAGCTCACGATATGGTGGAGAGGATCATGATTAGGGATGTAACAATATCCAAATCTCTGTACGATATTTTCATGATATACATCTCACGGTACGATATCTATTGTGATATTTTGTGGAGGTTAACAAAACTGTTAATATGCTACTTTTTCCTCTTAAAATATCTCGACAAGACTTAATCCAAAGAACTAAGATTTAAACGTGCTTAGAACTTTTATTTCTTCTTGTAGTCTGCACTGAAATGGAGCAAAGGATCATGGTCTATGTAGTTTCCTCTTTTTTTTTTTTTTTTTATTATAGGCGAGTTTCATTGTTGACAAAAGTGCATGTTGCATGCTGGGAAATATTTTGGTCAACGGCAAGAAACACGGTAGCGTAACCTCACGTATTTATCCCCGATAATGGTAAATTCCTGCTGCGTTATCGGATGCACAAATAAAAGCACGGAAGAAGGAAAATGTCTTTTTCGTATTCCGAATGAAATGGCTTTCAAACATCCGCAGAGCAAACGTAGAAGATCCGAGCAAACCGTGGACTCCAAGTTCAGACCGCGTATGTTGGGCCCATTTCTTGACAGGTTTGTGCATTTCTGTTAAATAAATTATTTTAATGTGTAATTTCAATAAATTTTAAGGCGAAATGTGTCATCTTTTTGAGAGGAGAGCCGCATTGTGATCTGAATCATCCAGAGTACACACTGAATTTGGGACACAAATACCAGAAAAACAAGGTCACGCTCAAACGATCGCTGAATCGCTTCGAAAGACAAAACAAACAATTCCGTAGTGACGTAGCAACAGTTTCTGATAAATCCCAGGATGAAATTACCACATGTACTTCTTCACATCCGATTCTAACTTAGAATCCACAATTTCTTACCAAAACTCAGAGCCACAAACCAGCTTGAATGAACCTACTGAAAAGAGTGTTAAGACCGATGGAAACGGAATACGAAAAAGACCTTTTCCTTCTTTTGTGCTTCTATTTGTGCATCCGATAATGCAGCAGGAATTTACCATTATCGGGGATAAATACGCGAGGTTACGCACTGTGTTTGACGCTACCGTGTTTCTTGCCGTCGACTAAAATATTTCCCAGCATGCAACGCGGGCTTTTAATAACAATGATGTCAGCTGAAACTCGCCTATTACTGCATAACTCTTAAATTAAGCAAAGAGACATGTAATTCGATATATTGTGATGGTCCACGATATTATTATGAGAACTCTGATGATACGATATCACAATATTTCGGTTATTGTTACATCCCTATTTATTACGGCTCAAAAATAGCATTAACTTTCGCATCAAAACACACACATCTCTCTTTCTAAATACAGAAATGTCCTCCACTGAAGATTCATTTTGTTCGTGTACTTTTTCACATGTTTTCAGTGACATCCACGCGCAGCTCCCTGTTCAAACTGTCTTATCTTTAAATATTTATCTGTCTTAGCGTGACTCAGCAAAGACCTCACAGATCCACCGCTGAACAGGAAGTAGTGACGCTAGCAGTGTGGTTGCCAGGTGCTATTGTGGACAGAGTCGTTCGGAAACATCTACATTGCGTTTTAGCGTCGCTTTGCACAGACTTAACATGGACAGAGGTGGTTATTCATCAATGAACTGAAATCCGGTCTAGAAATCAGGACTAAAACCTCTACAAAACCACTCGATACTGCCTATATGTGTATGGTGAAATGGTCAGCAGTTACCATGGCGACACAAGATTTTAAATGGTCTATAAAAACTAGAAAAATACAAAATGGATTATAACGTTGAGGGAATCGTTTAACAGCACAAAATCAACTCTCCTGTTGTCGTTTTAGTTAAATCAACAATTTATGGTGAGATTGTGTTAAAAGTGGAGTAACGGAGCTTCAGACACACCACTGCCTCTAGTTTTACCACCCAGGAAATGTTGATGACAGTAATAAACCAGAATTAAACTGACAAAACAAGGACAAAATCAGGATTTAACAAGAACTGAACCATAAACTTTGGGTAATCCAGCACTAAATTTGGTCAAGACAAGAGATTAAATTAGGTATTGAGTCTGAAACTGGACTGTATCAGGACAAACCACTGAAACATAACTGCTCAGAATAAGTTAAAAACATATTTTTACTGATAATTTGGACAGTTTCAGAGTAGAAATGTATTTAGTCTTGTCTGGCCAAGACGTCAGGATGCACCTCCACCCACATGTCCATCACCATTTTTCAGGAGTTTACTTCATTCATGACTTTCTATCAGTTGTTACTTTAGTTCATTATCTATTAAAGATTACTGAAAGTGATGAAGCACATTTCAAATTGTTGGGTGTGAACCACTTAGAAGATATTTTATATAGGGTGACCAGACGTCCCTATTTACCCGGGACCGTCTCAGTTTTGACTCTGTGTTCCCTGTCCCAGCAGATTTATCCAAACCAGTGACTTGTCCCAGTTTTATACAAGAAATGTCCCAGGTCTTCCGTTCAGATCGTCATCATATAAACGCAGCCTAAGGGCAACGTATTTTGTTACTCGACATAGTCAAAACGTCAATTTTGTCAACTTTTAACAATGATTTTAAACGCTGAAGTGGACTAAGGGAGTGTGACATCACCCACAGCGTTCGGCTCCAGTCAAATGAGGCTCATCAAGGCTAACGGTTATAAAGATAAATTATAGATTTATTAACTGACAAAATGGCGAAATAAAAACACCAGGATAATTTAGAGCGGGTTAATACGAACATTTTAAGACCAAAATGACGAGGCTCAATGCAGGAGTTATAGAGAAATGGGCGACAATTTCTCAAAGTCAAGTCGATGGAGCCGGAAACACCTCCATGAACACTTCCTATTTGGAACGCAGTGGCTGACGGGTTTGATCCGTCTATACAATCTATGGTTATCGGATATCCATGTATCGTATCAAGGTCTACTCTATATTATCTAGGGCAGGGGTGTCCAAACTTTTTTCATCAAGGGCCACATATCTAAACACAAACGAACCAGAGGGCCAGTTGAGGGCCGTAGACTGGTGCTCAGTACAGTGAATAATTGAAATACAGACATGTTTAACATGTTAGAATGACTCATCAGTCCTTTTTTCATTCTAAAATCCTTAAAACCACACACAAAATATTAAATATTAAGTTTATCAAGGTAGATTTAAAAAAAAAAAAAAAATTGCAATAAAAAGTAAATTTTTGATTGATGCAAGGTAATTTGGGCCAATTCTCCTGTAAGCCTGAGGGCCAAGAAAAATTTGTCTGAGGGCCGCATTTGGCCCACGGGCCGTAGCCTGATCTAGGGTGACCAGATGTCCCCATTTACCCGGGACAGTCCCAGTTTTGACCCTGTGCCCACTGTCCCAGCAGATTTATCCAAAACCAGTGATTTGTCCAAGTTTTATACAAGAAATGTCCCGGGTGTCGCAATTTTTGACCAATCTGACCCCTGCCAACAGTAAAGAGAGGCATAAATTGTCATTTGTTTAGGTAAATTACAGAAAATCTGCTTAAAAATGACCAAAACACAAAGAAAATGTGGCAATACTGACTCACATGTTAGTTATGAGTGGGCTAAGTGCAGAACAATTTTCCTTAATTATGCTCTCATTTCACAGTTTTATTATTATCAACCACCACAAACCAGGGGTGTCCCAGTTTTTGATTTGGAAAATCTGGTCACCCTAATTTTATCACCAAAAGATTTAATTTCTAGTTTGAAATGATCTTCTTGTTGCAGCATGAATGTTTTGCCATAGGCCCTGTGTGTGGTTAAGATTGGAGAACGGAGTTGGGCTTGTTTTTAGTGTACAATTAACTCAACCTTTGTAATGTTCAGTAGAAAATAGCAGCCAGGAAACCATGGACTTCATCGATCTTTTGACATGGCTGAGTGTGTTTACTTTTAGGGATGGAGCATAGACTGTGTAATAGATTTATTTATTTATTCCTCTGGGTGTAGGTCTGCTAGCCTGATTTATCAGCTGGTTTCACTTCGTGGAAACCATCTGACCTCACAGCATTAGAATTCATTCCCTGGACAGTAGGTGGGTACTTTTTTTTATTTAATCAATCGCTGCTATTTGGTCATGACGTATGTAATGCACCACTAACGGGGCTAACTGGTATACTAAGCTTTTACCCCGTGGCTACCCTGTGAAAAGTGCTGAATGACTGTTATGTCTTCATCTAATCTGTACTGAAACAGAGCAAAGAGTCATGGCCTGTTTAGTTCCCTCTGTTGTCACCCTTTATTGCTGCACCAAAACAGTGGATTTAAGCAAAGAGACTTGTAATTTGATATATTGTCCTGGCCCATGATTAGCCTGAATCATCAGCCAGTTTTACTTTGTTTCACTTCGTACAAACCGTCTGACATCGCAGCCTTAGATTTCATTCACTCTGGACAGTAGGCGGGTACTTTTTATCATTTAACCAATCGTTGCTATTTGGTTGTGACGTTTGCAATTCGCCGCTAACGGGTCTAAATGGTATATTAAGCTTTTCCCAAATCCCGTAGGAAGAAGGACAATACAGTCTTTCCCCTTGATAAAATTCACCAAACATTCTCTTTGTTCCGGCTTTAAATCCTCAATCTCAGGAATCGTTGCCAACACAGAATGTATGTCTCTTCGCTGATTGGCTGGTGCCCGGACTCGCACTTCCGGGGTTTTTGCGAACCATCTAGTGTATTCTGATTCCTGACCTAGTCGCTGTAGAGAAATTAAATTGAGAGGAGGCACTAGGTGGCTCCAGCCTGGCTTTAGGTTTGCAGCCAGATAGGCGCCTTTTTTTGTCACATGAATGGCAACAACAACAACAACAAAAAAGTGTTCATGCTGCCTTTTGTCTTTCACATTCGGTAAAATTGCAATCAAAATTTTGGATTTGGTTACCCTCTGCTGGAACATGTTGAAACGGCTTAATATTATTAACATTCTGGTCATGGACTGTATAAAAAAAAAAAAAAAGTGGATTAAGTGAGTGTGAGGTCCCCCATAGCATTCGGTTCCAGTCAAATGAAGCTCATCGAGGCTCGCATTAGGAGTACATTTGGAGCCGAGTTCCATATTAAAAAGCGAAAAAAAAAACCCATCAGGATCACGTAGAGTGGGTTAATACAAACATTTTAAGACCTAAAACGAGGAGCCTGAAAGTGGCAGGTACACAGAGAGGACCGATGTTTATTTAACACAAAGCAAATTGGAAACGGAGTCTATGGAGCCCGAAAGTTCCCCCATGCTCACTTCCTATTTGGAGCACGGCGTCCAATGGGTCAACTATGCCCATTTATACATACAGTCTATAATTCTGGAGCTAATATACGGCTTTAACATCCACTTTTAAGCTGCTGTCTCTCAATATTAAGCAAATTAAACGACCTAAAAAAGCAACAAATAAATCAGAAAATATTTTGTGATAAAATAGTTTGTTTTTATTTCACAGAACACAGACACAAAGAGGAAAAACATACAAGAGCTTATGGTGCTAAATGTACCCCTGCAGAAACCCAACATTGAAGAAAGGACATGAGGAGGTGGCAACATTTACTCCGGAGGGATGTTGAGGTTAGAATGTTGACGTTTTGATAGTCTAGAATCTACATAATGAAAGATTAGTGAAGTCAGTGAATTTGGAGAGGACGCAAGATCCAAAATTGAGTTGAAATCAGAAATCAAACTGCAAACTTTAGGGGCACTTTGGATTTGTTTTTCTGGTGTGACCTACTAGCTTCAATCTTCCATGCTTTTCTTCCATTAATGCTGTAATACCATAACATTAAGCCATATTTCAGAATGACATTTAGCTCAAATTTTTTCTTTTTTTCTTTTGTGGACTGCGGTCTGAAGCCCACAGAAAGTTCCCATTACATACTTCTCCTGGGTCTTGCATTAGGATTTCACATTTTATAACAATTGGGGCGCCTGGAACAGTTCAAATGAGGCTAATAAGAGTTTGATTAGTGGTTGCTCCATAGGGCTTTACCAAAATATCGATACGGCGATATATCGTAACGGACTTCTTGGCAATATCGACACAGAGATGCATTATATACACTTAACCTGCTGGTATTAAGGATGAAATTGCTGTGCTAAAAATGGGATTTATTCATAGGACAATTGTATTTTGAGACGAAGGGCCTGTTTACACGAGAACGCTTGCGGGTAAAATCGACAAAATATTTTATCGGAAGTGCCTTTCTTTTAAACGGTGACGGCATTTTGGGGGCTTAAAAATGCAAAAATCTGAAACCACCCTCCAGAGTGGAAAAGTTGAATACACTCCGCCGTAGCATTTCCATCTACACTGCTCAAGACGCAAAACTCTGGTCAGATCTGCTCATGTCGCATACACGTTTACGTCACATACATCACCACCTAAAGTCATCACCTAATCGAATTCCACACACTTTTGCATCACCCCATGCGCGCAGACTTCCTCCCGAAAATGCTCGTCTAAACGCGGAATAAAAAGTGAAAACGAGACGCCACTTTTGCGTCTTCCGTTCAGACCGTCATCATATAAACGTAGTAAAACATCTATTTAGTCAACTTTTAACAATGATTTTAAGCGCTGAAGTGGACTAAGGGAGTGTGACGTCGCCCACAGCGTTCGGCTCCAGTCAAATGAAGCTCATCGAGGTCAACGGTTATAAGGGTAAATCTGAATCTGATTTATTAACGGACAAACTGGCGAAATAAAAACACCAGGATCATTTAGAGCGGGTTAATAAGAACATTTTAAGACCAAAATGACGAGGCTCACTGCAGGAGTAAAGTCAACGTAAAGTCAATTGGAAAGTCGATGGAACCAGAAACACCTCCAAGAACACTTCCTATTTGGAACGCAGGGGCTAACGGGTTCGATCCGTCCATACAGTCTGTGGTTTTAACGGACATCCATGCACCATTTCAAGGTCTGAGTATCAAAATTTTGAAAAAGATACTTCTCCATTATCACAACATAAACTTTTTCGTGCTGATTGTGTGCGCATGACAGGTGGTGTTATTGACAGTATGGACATTTTTGGCATCACGCATCAATGAGCTCAGACCTTTTTAAACCAATACGACAACATCTTTGGTTCATTTTCCAGATCTTATTATAGTTCCATGGGAGCACTTCCTGGAAAAGGCGGGGCCAACCGAATGATGTAGAGAAGTGCAGCTGACATTTTTCATCTCTCAAGAAGGAAACAACCTCAGAATAGAAAAAAAAAAAAAACGTGGACGTGGATGTAGACATGTAGACGAAAACTAAACACAACCTGAGGTACATTTTTGAAAAGAAAACCAAAAATAGTGAGATTATATAAGAAGACCTTTAAATTAGAACTTCGAATTTGTTAGTAACTAATGTGTACAACCTATACTGAACTCTGGCAATATTGCTTTGTGCACTGTCTAACTTTTCTGGTGAAGGGTCCGTCAAATGTTTTTCAGTATGGCATTAAACCTTTCTAGCGTCATGGAAACCAAGCCAGATTCAATTACAGGTCAGATCTGCGGAAAGACGACCCCGCTTACAATCAGAATGCCATTTTTTCTAGGTATTTTTGAGCTATAAAAGCATCTGTAATTGAATAAATGTAAAATGTTGCTGTTTAATGTCATACTGTGGAACATTCCGTGTAGAACACAAGCAGGTGACGGACCCCCAACTAAAAACTTTAAATGTTGCCACCTATTAGAAACAATTTTACAGTTGACATGACGACGCACTGCTAATTAAAGTAAAAGTGAAAGAAAGAAAGAAAGAAAGAAAAGCAAAATGGTAAACAAATTGTCCATACAGTAAATGTACAGTAACAGCTTCATATAACTGGGACAGAGGACACAATGTACAATACAAGCAGAGATGGTCCTAGACATGGGTTATTCTCAAAAACACAACGGACATTTTTAGACACTTTTGAAATAGAAAATTGTAGATTGTTTGAACACTGAGTGGACAAGATTGCAGTGTTTAAATCTGTGCAAATCGCAAGGTGTTCCGAAACAAATTTTGACAAAACAAAATCTAAAAAGTGAGAAAACCCATCTCCGTGAAGCAACCCCGAGGATTTTTTTGTTTTGTTTTTCTACATTACAGACACCAAACAATACATGGATTTCATAAAATGTGATATACAATAATATACAAATAAGCTTGAATTGGACTCATGCAATAATAGGTGAGTTATAGCTTGAGAGAACGTACGGTTGGTGCACCTTTGTTCAGAACAATCAATCAAGAAATAGTCACGCAGTTCTGAGAAAGAAATAAAGAAAGGGTACAAAAGAGTTTCAAGAATGCCGTGTTTGAAAACTGAGGGCTCAGAATCAAAAGGGAAAAAAAATTAACTGAAAGCGCATGGGGCTGCTGCTTTTTACCCATAAATTTTTCCCATAGACTTTCCAAAAAAAATGTATGTTAAAATTTTGAAAGTTTGCTCAGGGTTAATCAGCTATGTGGTAAATAATGAGCACAAGACCCATCATGTTATGTGAAAGTCTGCTAAATTATTACAACATTTCACATAATTTAGCATTTTAAATGTGCTTTATGGGCTTAAAACTTTTCATTATTAGGTATCACTATGGGTGTAACGATATCCAAGTCTCACAATACGATATCATCACGGTATAAACCTCATGGTATGATATTTGCTGCGATATCGTGGGATAACAATATCCAAATCTCTCGGTTTGATATTTTCACGATATACATCTCACGGTACGATATTTATTACAATATTTTGAGGAGGCTAACAAAACTGTTAATATGCTACTTTTTCCTCTTAAAATGCCTTGACAAGACTTAATCCAAAGAACTAAGATTTAAAAGTGCTTAGAACTGTTATTTCTTCATGTAGTCTACACTGAAATGAAGCAAAGGATCATGGTCTATGTAGTCCCCTAGTCTTTTTTAGCTATTGCTGCACCATAACTCTTAATTTAAGCAAAGAGACTTGTAATTCAATATATTGTAATAACGATATTTTGGTTATTGTTTCATTACTAGTTATCACATGTTTTGAAAAGTTTATGGGAAAAATTTAAGGAAAATTTATTGAGTGGGTGAGCTCTGTTAACAAGGAATTAAAATAGTGTCATTTTAATTAGTAATGTGCACATTTTTAAAAGTAAATTTAAAAAGGTAAAAAGTAAAAGTATGTTTTAAAAGTAAAAGAAATTTAAAAAGTAAAAGTGATTTTCCTGGAAAGACATTTTGTGCACTGAAAATGGTTCCTTTGAATAAATCTAAAATAAAAAAGAATATTTATTGTAATATTACAGAGCTCAAGTTTTCATTTTCCAATTTTCCAAAATGTCCCTATGATACTAACCCCTCAAAGAAAAGGAAATATTTTTTTATTTGTTAAACTATGGGTTTTTAAAAACATTTTCATAAAAAACAAAAACAAAAAAACAAACAAAACAAACAAAAAAAAAAAACCAACAGTATTTTATTTTTTTCATTGTAACCAAATTCACTTAAAGCCTCCTATCCAACTTCTACTTCTACTGTCACTACTTGAAGCACCCGCCTTGAAAACAGTTCAGACACTTGCTATCAACAGAACGGTGTATTCCTCCTCAGTGTAGGCTGTACTTATACTCATATTCATATTCATAACAGATTTGTATGGAATCATGTGTAAAGTGGAAAAAGCTGCTCGGTGGTCAGATCTGGTTTGTTGCCTGCTAGTGTTTTCAATAAAGTCAACAGATGCGTACGTAGTCAAGGTGTAGTGCTATATTTACATGTGAGGCATAGACAGGAATTGCACATAAAAATAAATTTACGCTACCAGTCAAAAGTTTGGACACACCTTCTCATTCATTGTTTACTGCCCTGTATATTGTGGATACATACGGAGGACAATAACATATGAAGCAAGGCATATGGAATTTTTTTTTCTCAAATTATCCATCCTTTGCTTTGTTGACAGCACTGTGAAACTCTTCTCTTTTTGAGTTACTTGATGAAGTCTCCTGAAATGGTTTTCACTTCACACTAGTGTCAGGGTCAGAGAATGCTGAGACTGTGCAAAGTAGTGATCAAACCAGTGGGTATTTTAAAAAATCGTTAGTTATTTTAAGTTTATTTTTTTGTTTTCTACATTCCATATGCCTCATTCATAGTTTTGATGTCTTCAGTGAGAATCTACAATGTAAATCATAAATAAAATAATGAAAAAACTTCAGTAACAACTGGACTTACTAAGGGCCTGTCCACATGACAACGTTTTTTGGTAGAAACTGTGAAGTTTTTATTGTTTTGGCCTTTCGTCCACATGGATCCAGCGTTTAGAGTGGGAAAAACTGTTTTTTGAGAACGGGTTCCAGAATGGAGAAATCTGAAAAACAGCCAGCGTTGCGTTGTCGTGTGGACAAGCAAATCTCAGCTTTTGGAAAACGAAGACGTCGTGACCCCATCATCGCCAGGGTCCTACGATGCAGTGAAGGCCGCAAGACCGTTGCCGAAATGGGAAAGGTGTAGCATAATGCTAACAACACGCACTGCAGATTACACACACGGCTCAATAACAAAGATTACACACGCAACTGTTGGATTCTGAGACCAAGTTATTCTAATAATTCTCATCCAAATCTTATGGCTAAAACTGAAAACTTATGTTTAACTTTTGCAAAACAAAACGGCTATATTTCTGGGATACATCTAAAATCGGCTAAATTACCTTAAAGTTTTAAAAAAAGGTGATGAGATTTGCATTATTAAATATTATTATCATTGTTAACAGCGCCACATACAGGTGTGGTATATGTATTACATCGTTTTCACTCAGTGCTCCGTTGTCGTCTGGATGTGAACATTTATTGATCCGACACGTGTGTGGATGCAAATTTTTTTCAACCCGCAAAAAAAAAATAAATCCAGAAGCGTTGTCGTGTGAACGTAGCCTAAGATTTTTGCAGCCAACTTTTCGCTACCAACCAGGCAGCTTCTTCAGGGCTTTGTGTTAGTGACTGTGACTCCCGGCCCACTGCAGCGGAGGCAGTAAGTCCAGTTGTTTTGATTAACTTGATGATATCACGAACTGAATCAAAAAATCTGGACTTACTAAACTTTTGCAGCCAACATTCCGCTACAAACCAAGTGGCTTCTTCTGGACGAGTTTAGTGAATCCAGTTGTCTTGATTCAATTTCGTGATAATATCTTAATCCTGGATATTTCGAGATTTGTTTCGATTGATACGTTAAAAAGTGTGTCCACATTTTTGACAGGAAGCTTATATCATAAAAGCAACAGGCAGCTAACAACTATACTTGCTCAGTCGTAGTAAGTGCTTGGATTGAAACGCAAATCGTCAGCGTTGTAGCTAACGGAGCAGATCGTGCAACCGTATCCGTCACAATTCAGGGGTCATCGTGGCAGTGAAGTAAAGAATATATAAATATGTCCCCGAATATACAACTGAAATGGTTATATACTGCATATTAATCATACGGTCTGCATTTTACTTTAAGATGTTTAAACTACTTCTAGTTCACATTTCAGATTTCTGTTTTCAAAAGAATATTACAAAAATGAAAGTAACTAGTGTCTTATGTGTACTTGGTGTAGTTGGTGAATTACCAACAGTGCATTCTTGTGAGAAAAGGGTAAAAGACTCCACTCAAAGCAGCAGTAAACAGCAATTACAGCAAATGATTACAATGTTTAGAGGGCTTAAAACAGATCCAGGAGAAAAATACATGTTTTAAAAAGTTATCAATGAAGCGATTGTTTGTCCTCTAACTCCAGGAAGGACAAGGGTTTTGATGTATTTCCTTGTTTGTTTTTATGATTCATTTTCACACAATGTTCCTTGTTAAAAATGTACAAGCACGGTAAGTGATATGATTTTTTTTTTATAGTTCAGGATATTGCCCTTTGCACCACTTATTAGATGAGACCCATCAAGTAAAAAACAGGCAGGGCTGGGTTATCTAAAAAAAAAATCTAATCAGTTAACTTAATTTGTGTTTTCGTTGATCAAGATTCAGAAAAATTGCTAAATTGTGAAATTGAGGATTATTATGAAGCAAGTTTACTCCTGTCTTTCTTACTTGCAAAGCAGGGTTATGATGAAATTAAACGACTCTCATTCTAATTTAAAAGGTGCACTGTGTAACTTTTCCAGTGGAGGGTATGTCACCTTCCTGTTCCCATGGAGATAGCATTACTTTGCGTAGAATATTCCACAGTATATTAAACTTGAGCAAACTGGTTGAGAAAATGGCACAGTTTCTGTTTGTTATCTAGGTTTGTCATCTGTATCTGAGGATCCTCTCACTCTCATACACATGAATAGGCTGAGCTAACAAACAGAAACTGTAAGCAAGTAGGTGTGTTAGTTTCAGAGTAGTTTCAGAGTAGTTTCAGTGTAGTTAGCTCCTCCCTTCAGGCAGATATAATTCTGACCTGAACTGAAGAAGCAGCTTGGATGAGCTGAGAAACATTTTCAACCTCAATAAATGTTTGTCGAGTTGACCAATTAAAAGAATGAGAACTTCGCACATCAATTACTTGAGTCGGGTGCGTTGGAGGAGCGGGAGCAGCCTAAGAACATAGAGAAAAATCCCGCAAACGGTGTGCCTAATGTAGGCCTAGTGCTGAAACGTTGCACTGTTTGTACTAAAACATCTCACATTTTGCAAGTAAGACGGAGTGAGGGATTTTTCTCCAGTTGACAAATGGAATTTCTCCTTTGCTCTGGATTCCAACTGGACGACTGAGGGATTTTACACCCAAGCGTGCACATGGTAAAAATTCATGTTCATTCATTCACTACACAGCACATGTACTGGAACAAATGCAAGGGAGATATGTTTAACGCACTACTGTGAAACATTCCAGACCAAGAAATAACATCTCCAGGAGACAAGCGAGTAGCAGAACCTCCACCTTAGAAGTTACACAGTGCACCTTTGTTTTGGAAATGTGCCCTCTGCATTTGACCCATCCCTTAATGAATCAGTTAATTTAGATTTTGACACTGGGCACAAATTTTGAATGTCTCTACCTTCTCTCTCTCCAAATCACGGTACAGTAGTCTCTAATAAAGCCTTCAAATAATAATAAAATTAAAAAATAAAATCAGGCACAGGGCCTTTCATGAAGATTATGCATTGTGGACATTTTGGAAGCTGTTTACTGCTGCTACGTTCTTCTCTTTATTCTTTGCTCACTGAGTTTTATGTATTCTTCTAGGTAATCTTCTATAGGCTAAAGTGAATGTCTTCAGGCTAGGCTTGTTTTACCTGATTCTTCTACTTAAGTGCACTTTACAATAGTGAAATCTTTGGATGGGGCTGGTCGCTATAATATATCTCTACACTACAAGTTAAAATACATTTTGCTGGTGCTTTGTGAACGGCCCATGCATACCTTACCTCCTCTTTGAGCATCAAATCGGGCTAATATTACACTCATTCCAAAATATATATGGATCGAGAGAAAGAGGATTCAACATATGCACAAAGGGATGACAAAAAAATATAACGCAAGAAAATAAAAGTCTATATACCCCGCCCCATATATGTATTTTTATAGTCCATTTTAGCAAGTTAGCCTTAATGCCCCGCGATACTGCTTTGGCCTGATCGAAAGAGAGATACTTCCTTCACAGCATTGGGTCGGCCGCTCAGTCAAAATGGACGAACATTTTCTCACAACAAAAACGACGAAAAAGTGAGGAATCCGGAATGGGAGAACAGCCAATTAAAAAATAACAAAATAAAATAAAATAATAAAAAACAAAACCTTAAAATCTTTGGCTTGCGTTCCCCATTTTGGCAGCTGCACTCTAAATCCTTACTTGCAGTGAAATGTCTCCCTTCTTCAAAACATGAAAGGGTCCTGGAGCAGCATCGGTTGTGAGTAAACTCCAAATATCCATGTAACTAAGTCTTCTGTCCCACTGGTGCATTCTGGGTATTGTAGTGTAGATTGGGATAGAAATTCCAGCAGTTGTAGTCGACTCATAGCAGCCTTTTTGGCTTTAGTCAGATTGTAAAGGCTTCTGAGAGGTCATTGTGATGCTGTTTAGAGGCTGAAAAAGCGTCATTCAGCTTCGGATGGGCCAGTTGTGATTCAGCGGATGACCAGCGGGAGGAGCCCTAGAACGGGCCGATGAGGAGAACATGCTTTGATTCAACCTAGAAGGAAGAAGAACAAAACAAAGCAACATTTAAGCAACTTTTAAACATCGAATTCTTATAATACATTTTAAAGGGCCTAAATTACGCTCTTTTCTGATCTATATAATGATGTTGTAGTTGTGGTTTGTTAAATTGACACATGTTAAAGACACAAACCCTGCTTAGTTCTTCTCTTAAACCAGTGGTGTCAAACTCAAATTCACAGAGGGACAAAATAAAAAACTGGGACTAAGTTGTGGGCCAAACTAAATATTTAGTGAAAAATTTCAACAACATCTGCAGGTTTTCTCTTCTTTTGAGATATGTAATGTTAAACCTTTTCTTATTAAAATAAATGTTTAATAATAGTTTTGCTTAAACACTGAATCCAAAACAAGCAGAATATGAAATAATAACAGAATTTTAAATAAATAATGTCTCTATAGTCTACCTGTAGCCGATGAGCCAGCTCTAATACATATTTGGTATGATCTCGGGGGCCAAATTTGGACCCCAGGCCTGAGTTTGACATGTCTGTCTTAAACTGAAAACACTATTCCACCTTGTGATGTCATGTGGTAATACAGGAAGTGCTCCACTGTTGTTTTAAACTCCATACTCTACTCCAATCTCTATTGAACAAAAGGTAAAAGGTAGTTTTCAACTTGAAAACCACCACTACATGACATCACAAGGTGGAACAGCACATTTTCAGCTTTGGGGATGTAAACAGACTAATAAACCAGGATAACTCAACAACATTCTAACATGGTTCAAAGTTCACAAGAGTCCAAATGTGTGTAAAATATGACTTTTACTTCTTTTCTTGTTCCACATATATAGACATTATTTAAATTTAATCAACATTCTACCTGCAATCCATAAGTGTACAAAAGTAGTTTAAAAATGCTGCGTAATTCAGTTTTAAATAGACAAAATAGCATGTTAGACATAGTTAGCCCAGTGGTGCAATTTGTTTGGTTTTCGGAAACACTGTGTGGATGCTGTTTCCAAGGCTCTCTTAAATACATTTTTGCAGTTGCTAATTTGAAGACATCTTGCAACACTTCTACATGTGATACATAATTAGTCCAGCGCTTAAGCTTCAGCCACCAGACAGTTAGTCATCTTCTAGAACTATCTACCAGTGAAGAAAAGAAATGTGTGGCTACAGTTGGGGCTTAACTAAGTACATAACAGACTGGAAAAAACGGTACCAAATAGACTTTAAAATCCCACTTATAATCTACAGATCATTACAATTTAGCGGCCGTTTACCTCACAGAATTACTAATGCCACCCACCATGAAGGCTGAGATCACCAGAGCAAACACTCCTCACAGTTTCAAGGATTAACCTGTTTAAGTCTGTCTATGGGGCATTCAACCACCATGGTCTTATAAAAAATCCCATGAGCTTTTATGTAATATAATGCAAATAATGACTTGTCTTTTTATGTGCTGTAAAATTGCTTTTTTGTAGTGATGCCCAATCCAGCTTTTTCAGTTCCAATACCGATACTATAGACTGAGACTGAAAGCAGCATTTATTTCTTTTGCACAAAAATAAGATAAGACAAAACTGATCCAGATGTGTTATGCAGCTGTTATGTATCTCTCTCTCTTGTAATTATACAGAACCGCTTTGTAAATACAAATACAAACATTCTGAGGTTTTCTGGGCCAACTACCACCAGTGAATGGTCTTATTACATAAATGTAAATGTCTAAACAGGATATCGTCTGGACTGCTATTTGGAAGTTTTCAGTGTCGGGAAAGTTATCGGATTTCGGTATCAGATTGAGGCATCCCTATTTTTATGTAACCACTCTGAAGAACTCTAAACTTGTGCTATATAAATACAAATGCATAAAATTAAAGTTAAATTAAAGCAGCAGTAAGTCTTGTAACATATGAACGTAGAATAGATTATCTTGTATTCTAGCTGTCTTTGTCTTACATTATATTGACATGGACTTCATCTTGACCATGGAGGTGAGCTCCTGCTTGTTCGCCTGATTCCGCCGTCTCTGCTTCACCCTAAGACAACAACAGATCAGTCAGATCACAGAGGTGTCCAAACTTTTTTCATCAAGGGCCACATCTCGAAACACATAAGAAGCAGAGGGCCGATCGAGAGCCATAGACTGGTGCTCATTACAGTCAATAACTGAAAAATGTGCACGTTTATCACATTAGAATCAGCCATCAGTCCTTTATTCAAGCTAAGACCATCAAAACCACACTAAATATTAAATATTAGCTTTATCAAGGTAGATTTAAAAAAAAAAAAAAAACTTTTTCATTGATGCAAGGTAATTTGGGCCAATTCTCCTAGAAGCCTGAGAGCCAAGAAAAATTAGTCTGAGGGCTGCATTTGATGAGTCAAATGCAGCCATAGTTTGGACATGCCTGCTGTAGACTAAATATTCAGTAAAATCAGAACAGAAGCAATACAAAAGTGCTTACTTTTGAGGTGATTTTAGTCTATGCCAACAGAGGGCATTGTTTATGGGAGAATGCCTTTAACCAGATGCACATTTGACCAAAGAAATGAAGCTGCCCTGACATGTCCACTGATGCCAAGGAAGTGAATTACTGTAAATAATTACACAGCACTACTGCACAGTTAATATAATCTCTTGACTATTCTGACCAACAAACACAAATGAGGCTTCACAATATAAGAAAAAATGTAGTATTCAGTAACAATGCGTAATACTTTTAATAACTATATTATTGTGTTTTTTCAACATAGAAGTTCAGTTAAACTCATTAAAGTAAATGTAATTACAAATCAAATTTAAAACTTATCTTAAAATAATAACAATATGAAATGTGTACATATTGAAAATAACACTATCTACTACACTTGACTTTAACTTTATACAATATTTCTTGTCTTGCGGATATTGACAATTCTGATATGATGTTAAAAACCCTACATACCATCAACAAGTCATTTGCTTTGGTTTTGGAGTGAAGCGAGCACCAATGTAGTGAATTATGAAAGATGTGGTTTGCGGCTGTGGGCTGAGAGTGCACGTGGAGCGGCGGAGTGATACCAGGTCGCACTGAGGCTCGAACAGTGTCCAACAGTGTGGGAGTCTTACCACATCACAAACACCAGGGACAGGACGGTGGAGAGGATGACCACAGAGAACAGCACCAGCAGAATCACCAAACCCACGTTCCCGTCATCCTCATACTGCGGATGATCTGCAGAAGAAAAACATGAGCAGAGTTAAGATAGAAATGCTGATGAGGTTTGGCAACTAACTATAAAGCTACCATTTGTAAATACTAGTCAACTGGCCGACCTGCTCCAGTTGTATTCTCACTTATCACCACTAGATGCTATCTACATTACTGTTGTTTGATAGTGTGCCAGCTTTGGTCTGACAGAAGACCAAAGAGCACAGGTGAATCTAACCCTGCGTTCGATAAGCCTTCTGAATCAGTTTTCCGAGGAAGCTGCCTAGCGACACAAGTGACACGCCCCTTTTCCTTGGACGGACTGTGACTCGAACCTCAACCCCCGAAAAGTAGACCGAGAAAGGATTCCGAGTCAGAAGCCAAAATGGTTACAGCCACTGGGACATGTAAATATGCAGTGTTTTCATTGTGTTTGGACACTTTGGTGGTTTAAATGACAATTTCAGTCACTTGTACTTTACTGTGTCCATATCACTGCCATTGGGTTTGGTAGTCGCTGTTGTGGTGAGGCCAATATTGAACAAATACTTGAATGGGTATTAACATCCCTAATGTTGTAACGGAAGAGAAATCATAACATAAAATGAAGAGCAAATTTCTTTTTCATAAAATGAGGGAATAGTCATAATCATAATCCACGTAGTCCGACAAGCAACACATAATAATACGCTTCAAGCTCGGACGTGACATCAAATCCAAGTGAGGTCCAAGTGAAAGTCGGATAATCGAACACAGGTGAACAAAGGACAGGTGAGGGGAGGGGCCAGATAAGGGGTGGTAGATTTCACATTTACCATCTACTGGTGAAAAAAAAAAAAGGTACACTTGCAGATTTAAAGGTGCACAATGTAACTTTTTGGTTAGGCGTCTGTTGCCCGTTTGCTTCTATGGAGATGTCATTGCTCTGTTTGGAATGTTCCACAGTATGACATGAAACAGCTCTACCTTACAACCTCACATTTATTCAGTTACAGATGGTTTTATAGCTCCAAAATACCTAGAAAAACAGACATTCTGCTGCCTCTCCACAGATCTGACTCGTAACATGGTCTGGTTTGGTCTCCGTGAAGATAGAAAGCTTTAATACAGGGGTGTCAAACTCATTTTGGTCCGGGGGCCGTATCCAACCTACTTTGATCCCAAAAGGGCCGGATCAGAAAACTCATGGCATATAAACCCCAAAAATAGCAATAAATTCAAATATTTTTGCAGACAAATGCAAATCTATTACAAAAATCTTTTTTAATTGATGAACTTTATCTTTTACAAAATATTAGAACAACCTGAAACTTTAAGAAAAATGCAATTTCAACACAGTATTTTAACATGAACTTGTATGTAAATAGGAGTACATTTTTCTTGGTAAATCCTGCACTCAGCGTCCACTTTTCTCATTTTGGACATTTTACTGATGAGGGTGTCACGGTCAACAGTCAAAACGATCGTCCTTTAAGAGCGTTTGGAAAAAGACAAGTCTTCATTTGTGCTGCTCTGGTGGGAGGGGCCACGTACAGAGGCTCTGGAGACACTGCTGTGATAAACACCACAGAAAAATTACCAATATTTTAACAGAAAATATAATTTAAATATTTTAGTAGAAAATCAGCCGAGGGCCAGATTAAAGGTCTTGGAGGGCCGGATCTGGCCCCCGGGCCGCATGTTTGACACCTGTGCTTTAATACCACACTGTGAAACATTCCAGACAAAGCCAGAGCATCCCCTTGAAGAAAAGCATTGGGTGAACGCTCCACCAAAAAAGTTACACAATGCACCTTTAAGCTACCTTGCCAAGATGTATTGTTACTAAAGATAATAGTCACCCATTTTGGGGCCATAACCATCAACTGAGAGACACCATTTTACAGTATGCAGTTAAACTTCAAATTGCAGTCTAATCTTCCAAACACAAGTGGCATTTCTGTGCTAATCTTACATTCCAGTCATTTTTTTGCACAATACCCAAACCTCAATTAAGACATTTACCAGCATGCTGTATTTTGTAATAGTAAAAACTGTAAAACATTGTGTCCAAACCCTTGACTGGTAGAGTATGTTTAAACAGCACTAATCAAACTTCTGGACACACCTTTCATTCTTTGCTCTTTTTTCTTACCACTTTGTACATTTGATATATATACAGAAGACATCAAATATATGAAAAGTTCAGATAGAAATACTGAAAAGATTTGGCAACGTGATTAGACATGTTTGCTCCGAGTGCCAATAGAGCTAGACTAGAAAGAATGCGACAGCGCTTTATTTCATGGAATATAAAAGGAAATAGTTTAGTAGTACAGTGGAAAATCAAGCTGTAAATCAAGTCATTTTGAGTCACAAACGAAAACAACTTGGTCATTTGGCAAATTTGTACAACAGATGCCCATTCTGTTACAAATGTGTGTCTAACCAAGCACCGTTAATCCTACCAGTGTAAAATATTTTTGTGTTTACGTGCTGTCTGCATCTGATTATAAAGCGTTTGATCCTCTGGGAAGCAGGAAGGATACGGTTAACATGCTAGTTGTTGTTAGCATAATAACACTGGCGCCAAAACTCCGCTCTGGCATCTGGAAGTGGTGGAGATTTGCTTATGAACTCATTGCAGTGAGGAATTAGGATGAAGAAGAATTTTGGGCCAGTGTAATCTCTTTTACATTTAGCTTTTCCCATTTTTATTATTTATGCAAAACTGACTTTGTATGCATCTGTATGTAGTAGGGATGTAACAATAACTGAAATATCGTGATATCGTATCATTAAAGTTCTCCCAATAATATCGTGGACCATCACAATATATCGAATTACAATCTCTTGTCTTAAATTAAGAGTCATGGTGCAGAAATAGCTAAAAAAAAAGGACAGAGGAAACTACATAGACCATGATCCTTTGCTCCATTTCAGTGTAGACTACAAGAAGAAATAACAGTTACGGTAGAAAAAAGGGGTGGGGTTAAATAAGGATTTACTTCCTCCCACTCCTTTTTCGGACACAAGGAAAATCGGCGTAACATTTATTTTTGCCTATTGTTATAGAATAGAAATATTTACTTTTTGTGTTATATCTATGTATTTATGTTTTTTTGTATGTATATTCTATGTATTACTGGCCAAATAAACATTCAATCATTCATTCAAAAAAGTTCTAAACACTTTTAAATCTTAGTTTTTTGAATTAAGACTTGTCAAGGCATTTTAAGAGGAAAAAGGAGCATATTAACAGTTTTGTTAGCCTCCATAAAATATCGCAATAAATATGGTACTGTGAGATGTATATCATGAAAATATCGTACTGAGATTTGGATATTGTTACATCCCTAATCGTGAGCCTCTCCACCATATCGTGAGCTTTCCTACGATATCGCAATAAATATCGTACTGTGAAGTTCATACCGTGACAATATTGTATCATGAGACTTGGATATCTTTACACCCGTAGTATGTCGCCTCATGTATTTTAGTGCGAGTGTGTGTGTATGTGTGTGCGCGCATGTGGGTTAGACTGTGCCTGTGAGTTGTTTAGTTGTGTGGGGTTGGGCAGTTGAGTTGTGGGGAAGTTGGGTGGAAGGGCGTGTGGAGTTGTGTTTTGTTTCATTCACACATGTTTGAGTAACCCTTTATTATGTCTGTCTACATCTCCAAAGCTCAAAATACCCCGTTCCACTTTGTGATGTCATGTAGTGGCAGTTTTTAAAGTTAAGAGCTACCTTTTACCCTTTTGGAGACGGGTAATTCCAGGGCTGACATTATCCAAATGATTGTAGTGAAGGTGTGTGTAGTTTAAAAACAAAGTGGATCACTTCTTGTATCTTCCTGAGAAATACTCACCCTAAATACGCAGGGTTTGTGTGTTAAATATGTGTGAATGAAACATGAAACACAACTCTGGGTATGTTTGTGATGAGGAAACAACATTAGAACATCAGAAAATAGCGTAGTATGGGCCCTTTAAAGCTGCCATTTGTAATTACAGCTCCCACATCTGACATCTACTGGTATATCAAATAAACTAATGTTGGTAGTTTTATTATTAAAGATTAGAGCCCGACCGATATATCGGCTGGCCGATATTATCGGCCAATATGGGCACCTGGAGACATATCGGCTATCGGTCGATATGCTTGCTGATGTGGGCCGATATTTCACGTGGGCATGTTATATCTCGTTATAAAGCTTAGACTCTCTACATTATGTTCATTTAATCCAATTTACAGACAGATAAATGTCCTCATATGTGGCTCCGCACCAGTATTTATCTGCGGTGTAATTTGTCTGTGTGTGTGTGTCCGTACTGTCCCTGAACACACCACAGAGTCACGTCACTTCACGTGTGTTTGTTTACACCCGCAGCCGTGCGCAACACTGAGATTATATTCTTTTTACAGACAATCTGTTTGAGTTTGGATTAAAAGGACATTTATTAGTGCAAACTTGTGATGTGAGGAGGAGCCTGTGTGAGCGCTGAGTGTTGGAAATACATCGACTTTGAAGCTAGTTTAGGTTTTGTTAGCGGTTAGCTGCTGTAGCTCCCACACATAAACAGACTGTTTTCTATTGGTCTATTGTAAAGTGATTATATTGGCCGTATATTTGTTACTGGACCAGTGAGCTGTGAATAGACGTGTGAATGATCCACATTTATGCATATAATTAATTACCGCGGCGCGCAAGTTTTTACGGTTAAAGGCTAATAGCGGTAGTTTCTTTACTAGCTAGGAGTTATGGGTCGGTCGCGATCGAAGCGGCTCTTAGAGTCCGGCTCTTTGAAGCGAACAACGGGAGCATGTTTCTTATTGGGAACTGTGTTTTCTCTTTTTCTCACTTTTTCTCTTCAAGCCGCTTGTAGACCCGTAGTTTGACAGCAGCAGCGGCTGAAAACGAAACTTTCAGAAATATGCGTGTGCACAGGATAAAAAAAAAAGTGCATATTTGGCTGCAGTTCATCATAAAATGAATAAACCAGGACTAATCTTGAGCTCGAGTGAGGGAGAGAGATAGAAACCGAG